TCACAGGGAGACGAAAAGGGCAGAACAGAAGGAAAGGAGAGGGGGAGATTTGGGGACAGAGGTCCTTAGTGGACACTGCTTTGTGCCTGCCCAGGTCCCTTCCTTCTTCTATAATGCCACCCCGATCTTCCTTTTGGAACTCGCCTTTCCCTTCACTCAGTCCATGGGGTGCTAGGGGGGCTACATGAGAGGATGTGGGACCCAGGCCTGGCCAGTCAGGGAAGGACTTACCTCCAAGCTAATCAGAGTAAATCCTCAGGATTTAGCTGGAACTTTAGGACAGAGGTGTGCTTTATCCACTGGGGTTGCACTACCTGGTAGAGTTCATTTGGAATACTTGAGGCCATTTTGGCATCAGATGGGAAGAACCTATCTGAGAATACAGCCACCCAGAGGAGGGTAGAGTCAAGAGCTGGTGTGATGGGTAATTTTATGTGTCAACTTGGCTAGGCCACTGTACCCAGATATTTGGTCAAACACGTCTGAATGTTGCTGTGAAGGTATTTTTTAGACGAAATTAACATTTAACTTAGTAGACTTGGGATAAAGAAGATTATCCTCCATAATGTGGGTGGGCCTCCTCCAATCAACGAAAGGCCTTAATAGAAAAAAGACTGATGTTCCCTGAGGAAGAGGAAATTCTGCCTCCAGATGTCTTCTGTACACAACATTGACTCTTCCCTGGGCCTCCAGCCTGCCAGCCTGCCCTACAGATTTTGGACTTACAATTCCTTAAAATAAATCTCTCTCTCTTTCTCTGTTTCTCTGGCGACCCCTAACAGTTACAGATGACCAGAACAGATTCCTGATGTCATTAACTCCTGGATCCAGCCAGACCTGACATCAGATACTCCAGGATTTTTCACTTCGGTGGTCGTCTTTAGTTGGGTTTCTGTCACTTACAACCCAAAGGGTCCATCTCAGGAGGGAGCAAGAGCTCATACTGACTGAGCCATCATTCCATGCCAGGCCCAGTGTCCCCCTTTTAAAATTGACCCGGGCCTTGAAGGATGCATAGAAATTCATGTGGACATGAGAAGGACGGGGTAGAGTGAATGTGTGCAAAGACACAGAGAAGTGACGGAGCATGGCATGCCCAGGAGACCGAAGAGTTCAGTGTGGCTGATGTGAAAGAAGCGACTGGCAAGAGACCAGGCTGGAGAGGTTGTTGGGGGCCAGGTGATGTGGGACTTCGAATGCCAAGCTGGGGAGTTTGGACTTTGTCCTGAGGACAGCAAGGGAGCCATTGAAGAGTTTTAAGCAGAGCTTAAACATGAACATGATCCGATTCAGGCTGTGGTTGGTTCACTCCGTAGTGTGAAGGACACAATGGAGCAGAGAGGAATTATCCTATGGCTGGAGTTTTTCCCGGTGCTCTGACCTCCTATGCTAAGCGTCATTTCTCTCTCATCTGCTTGAAGCAGGGTAGCACAGTGGGTAATGATGTGGACTCCTGGAGCCCCCCACCCGGTCTCCATCCCGGCTCTGGGGCTCACTGTCTATTTAACCGCAGGCATGTTACTTAAGTCTGGGTACGTCTGTTTCCTCAGTGAAGATACCATCTCTACCTCTTAGGGTTCGCTGTGATGATGATAGGTGAGTCACTACGTCTTTAGGGCTCAGCTCAGCACGGTGCTTGCCACACAGTAAACACCCAGTGATTAGCAGCAGTCTTATGACTACCATGGCCAATGGGTGGGCTGTGCACCCCAGGCCCCAGGAGGCCCTCTGCCCTCTGCCCTCTCCCTGTGCCAGCCCCACCTGCCTTTCCCAGGGGGCCGCGCCTGCCCCTCCAGTTCTCACAGATGCATGGCCAGCCTGGGCCCCAGGAAGCCGGGACAGGTCACTGCAGGGACATGAGGAGAAAAGGGCTTTCGGCTCTGGAAACAGATCCTTCTCCAAATCTCAGGCTTGGGAATTAGGCTGGTATCAGGTGAACATCAGCTTCTCAGCCCCGCACAGGCCCACAGTGGGTGTCTCGGAAGCACAGAGGCTGTAAACTCAGCCATTTCCCTCCGGCTTCCAGATGCAGAGGTGAGAGGCTCTGAGCTACTCAGCAGACCCCGGGGACCAGCTGTGGGAGGAACGTCCATGAGTCAGAGAAAATGCTAAAATTCGGAGTCAAAGAGCATCCTTGAATTCCCAGCCTTTCTAAGTTTTGTTTCCACTATGTAGCGCGGTAGAACGGCAGCTCTGCCACCACCTTAGGGGACCCTGGACATGTCACCCCTCCTTTGCTTCATTTCCTGAATCCAGTGATGAGGGTTAGATTCAAAGGTGGCAATAGTGTTCATCTCGTGGGCCAGGTGTGATCAGCTGTTAGTGGCTGCCTGGTTGGCGGGTCAGAGAGCGCGGGGTTGAAGTGGCGTCTGCCATACCTGGGGGAGGGGGTGGGTGGCGCATGGGCGGTCCTTGGCCTGGATGGGTCTTAGTCCCGAATACTTGGTCTGGGTCACTGAAATGGACGCCCATGCCTGGCCCAGTCCCCCCTCTGGACTCTGGCTCAGCAGTGTCCCTCACGGCCCCCACGGGAGGTCAGGAACTGCCTTAGGCCCCCACCTCTATACAAATTTTCCACTTCTTACCTGGTTAATGCCAGTGTCTGTTGGGGGAGAGCTGTGTACTTTGGGTGCAACATGGGACAACTTTCCAATACATGGGAATTGATTTCCTGATGACAGTGAAGAGGGAGTCCAGGCCTCATAAAAAAGGAGCCCATTGTAGCCCACACACCCTGCCAGCCCTCAGTGACCTTCTGGCTCAGGACTTATGTCACCCGTGTCCCCCGCCTCCCCTCATTCCAGTCTGCGTAGTGACACACCTTCCATGCCCCTCTCCTCTAACCAGGGGTTCCAAGTCCTTTTTATGGTCTCACTCATCAAGTCCTGAAAAGCACTGAGAAACTCATTCACTCTGAGGTGCCAATAACTAAGAATAGCTGGAGATGAATCTCAAATGATGAGATTCCAGGCATCAGCAGCTCAAAGGCCTCAGCAGCAGTATTTGTAGGTCACAAGAGGAGGTAACCATCCCTGAACAGCAGAACATTAGTTGTTCTTCAACTGTGGGGAGAATTGTTCTGCCAGCAGTCTAGAACTTGAGACAGTCCAGTGAGGGTTGCTCTGCCCCATACGGCACAGAGTGGAGAATAGTATGGTCTCTGGAGCCAGAGTGCCTGGGTTTTGAATGCCAGCTCCACTCCCTCCTCACTGTGTGACAGAGTCACTTAGCCTCTTTGTGCCTCGATCGTCTCTTAATAAAATGGGGTTGGTGATCATAGCAGTACCCACCTCGTGGGGCTGCTGACGAGGAGAAGAGCTTAGTGCTCAGAACAGGCCCTGGCATACAGTCCGTGCTACCTAGGTGTTGGCTGTTAGCACCAGGCTCCTTGGGGGCCCCGCACCAATCCCAGGCATTGCAGTTTGAGACGGCAGACACCAGGGTCCGGCCCAGGCCTGGCACACGGAAGGAGTCAGCAAATATGTACCCCTCCTTTTACCTTCGTTTTGGGATTGTCTCCAGAGCCAGGTTAGGAGCTACATAAGAAAACACAGAGAATTCCTCAGGCTGGCCGCTGTCTCTGGGAGCCAGCTATTAGAAGGTCATTGTGGCTTTGTCACCACTGAGATCAGCAAGTCCAGCAGTTTCTCTCTCTCTCTTTCCCCCTCCCATTGATCACGACTCACTGCCCACAGTCGCTGCTGCCTCAGCAGCCATGTTGGGTGGGATATGACCCCAGCCCCAGCCACAGCTGATTGGACCTGGGATTGGTCCCTGACCTAAGGGCCACACTCAGGTGAGTTGGTCCAATCAGATTCTCCCTCAGGAATTTGGAATTGGGAAATGGAGACTCAGCCAGGTGGTGGTGGTGGAGCTACAACTGAAAGGTCACCTAGAGTGGCAGAAGATCGTGATGGCCGTGTTCAAGCTAAGCTCTGAGGATGCAAGGGAAGCTGGTGGCAGACAGGAGGCCTGACTGGAGAGAGCTGCTCCTCTGAGACACTTTAAACCGGAACCACCTTCCACTTCCAATTCTCAGGAAGCCTGGGGACACCATGTCTTCTTGTCTTGGATTTCCCTGAGATACTTACAGTGACATGACCCCATCTCTTTCCCGAGCTAGCCTGAGAGCGTCCTTAGGCCCTTTAACCAGGAGGGCCTCGACTTACCACCTGCCAGCCCCTTGGATCTACATCCTTCTGCTTCAAGCCCTTGCCTCCTTCCATGAGGTTCTGCTGGATGTAATTTCATGGATGGAGTGGAGCCCCTGCACCTCCCTCCCTCACATTTTGTCTAGGTGACCTCAGGAGGAGCCGCTGAGGCCATGCTGTCCCTCAGAGAAGCTGGGGCACCCCACACCTTGAGGTGACACTCTGGGGCTCCTACCGTCAGCTGCGCTTTCCTGAATTGAGCAAAGTTTCTGCCCCACGGGCTTCATTTCCTGCCCTCCTTCTGCTGAGAAGACACTGGACCCCAGCCTAGCCCGTCTCCCGCTGCCCAGATCCTACTCCAAGCCAGCCCCTGGCCATTTGATCATATCCTTCATGTCGGACCCAGATCCCAGCACTGGCTTCTGTTTCTCACTCTTGAATGGGAGCCAAAACCTTATGATTTTCTATTTGACAGCCTTGAATCTGTCGCCCAAATCCACACTCACTCCTGTAAGTTGGAAAAGAAATCTGTTTATTTGATTAATGAGTTCAGCATAAGGATTATGGCAGCAATCTTAGCAACAATGACAGTAGGAGAGAGGACAGGGATGGAGAGAGAGATCCAAGAGCCAGGTCCTATTAGAGTTTAAGGGAGGAGGCTCCTGGGGCCGGGAGAGACCAAATTCACAGGGCCAGAGAAAAGATGTGCGAGTCTGGGTCCCAGAAGGCCTCTTCAGAATGGCTGGCTGCTCCCTCCTCTATCTTGGCCTTCAGAAGAGTGGCCTGAGGTGTTCCTTACGCAGCCCTACTGCAGGGCCAGAGGGAGTCTGAAACCCCTGGGTGCTGGCTGTGGGTTTCCAGGTGCCTGCAGGCTAGTGTCTCTCAAGGCTGGTTCCAGGCTTTGTGTCCAGGAGGGTGGGTCCAGAGCTCACTGGCGTCTAGGTGTGAATTTGGTTTCTCCTTCTGGACTTCAGAAGAAGGTCCTGTGGGGAAGAGGACAGAGACCAGGTGGGTGCAGGCCTTGTGGGTGCACATTCAGCCCAGGGCAGGGCCTGACAGCAGGGAGCACCCTGCTGGCAGCACAAGGCCTGCCAACCTCTGAAGGCCCCTCTTGGTGCAGGCCCCAAGCAGCAACACAGCAGCCGTAGCCACGGCACACAGGAGGCTAGGGAGAAAGCAGAAGGCACGCCTGGGCTGAGGCAGGAGGGGACCAGAAGGCAGAGGAGCTGGGGTCCCTTGCAAAGAGCAGATGACAAGTGATGGGAAACACAGAGCCACTGAGGCCATCCCAGAAGCCATGGCAGAGCAGGCCAAGTGTCTTGGGAACATGAGGCCCTAATGTAACTTGAGAAACTTGTAACAGAAAAGTCAACAAGTCCAGGCTTGGGTCTGCCCCAGATGCTGCCAGCTGTGGGTTTGAGGCCACACCAAACACCAGTTTCATGGCCACCTGCCAGCTCTGTCCATAGGCACAGCCCTTTCATGGGGTGGGAAACACATCCCAAAGCTGGGCTCCACAGTGTCCCGTAGACAGAGGCCGGAGCCAAAGGAAAGAGAAGGCATGGAAGACAGATTGGTCTGAGCAGGGCTCGGGCCATGATAGGTCACAACAGGACGTAAGCAACTCTCATAGGCCAACCCTGGTTCTTTGGACCAGACTAATCGTCTCTTACTTGCCCTGGCTCTGCCCACGCACGGGGGCCCCGTGGGGTAGGGGCTTCCAGAGGGTAGTGCTCCCAGGGACGGGGAAATCCAGGCTGTGCTTCCTCTGGGCTGTCCCAGCCCATCATGCCCGGTTAGAGGCACTGTGTGTGCCCGGCAGAGAACGGGTGCCCACTGCTCCATCCTGCTCATTTGGGTGCTGCGTGGGACCCGTGGCATGTGCCAAGGGCTGTCGTGAGTCAGGACACCCAGGGCCCAAGCTTGCTACTAACTGAGCTCTGCTCGGCTCCCCCGAGTGGGAGGGCCTTTGAGTCAGACAGAATTCAGTGTGGCCAACAGCAGGCCCGGGTGGCACTTCAGGAACGTTGCCTCGTGCACCCCTCCAGACACTGGTCCAAAGAACCTGCCGACACGTGGGCAACAGACGGCCACTACATGCAGCATGGACAGACGGGCCCCTGCAGCCCGCCTGCCTATTCACCGTGGGGGCTGCCAGGCGCCAGCTACAGGAGGAGCCCGCGTCCATGCACGGCAGCACGGTCTTCAAGGAGCTTTCGGACCGGCTGGGGGCTTTCGGCTGCAGAGGAGGGAAGAGAAGAGCTACATACACAGAGCAGAGCAGGAAACACAAAACAGGGCTCGGTTACTCCCAGGCAGAGCTCCACCCAACCTCTCCCTTCACTTGGCTCCCGCCTCGGGTCCTGCCCAGGCCCTGAGGTCCAGAATTAGTTACTACAAGACCTCAGTTTCTCCAAGACATGCACAGAACTCAGCCTCTGCTGGGCAGGGGAGCAAACGAGTGCAGCCATGACAGGCAAGCAGAGGGTGAGGAGTGAGTGTGTGGGCAGTGGGGTTGGGGGGAAGGTAGGGAGGTTATGATAAGGTGAGGATGGAGGCCAGATGCCGCAGAGGCAGAGAGAGAGAGAGAGACAGAGAAAGAGAGAAAAATGGATGCAGAGTGACAAAGATGGAGAAGCAGGGACTCAGAGCCAGGGACAGAGAGAAGCAAGAAAAGGAGAGGGTAGGAGAGAAGGGGGAGAGGGATGAGGGAAGGAGGATGAAGGGGAGAAGGGCAGATGGGAGAGAGAGATTGACAGGAAGGAAGAGGAGAGGGGGAGAGGGGAAGGAGGGACAGAGAGAGAAATCCACACAGATACAGAGACAGGGGTGAAACAGATACAAAGAGAGACAGACACAGGGAATCACAGAGAAAGATGGAGATCAGGCCAGGGCTCCCTGGAGAGCCTGCAGGATGGGCCAAAGCCCGTGGTCCTGGCCTCTTGGAGTTGCAGCAAGAGGGAATTGCAGTTACATGATCAGGAAGGCTTTCCAGAGAGTAAAAGACAGAAACCTTTAAACCAGCTGATGATGATGGTGCAGGGGTTCTCAGTGGGGAATTGAATCCGGAGGCTTTGTCCCAACTTCATCATTTACTTGGTCTGAGACCTTGAACCTCTCTGGGCCTCGGTTTTCCATATGGAAAGAAGAATTTGGACAAGACAGTCTTGGCAGCTCTGACAACCTTGAGGACAGTGACTTAGTTCTAGGCTTTCTCCAGCCTGGGAGCTCTATAGAGCGATTACTACTAGACGCTGTGTGCTTGGGCCATTCCTTCAGGCTGGATGAAGACTGGGGGTGGGCTGGGAGAAGGGGGCCAAGATTCAGGAGGAGGAGGAAGAGGAGGTAGCAGGCCAGGCGCCCGTACACACTTACAGCTCATCGTCGTACTCCTTGGGGGGACAGACAGCGACCACAAGGTCGATCCAGTCCTGTGGGGAGAAGCTGTGTGACTCTGGGGCACGCTCAGGAGTCGCCCCTGACACTCCATTCCCATTCCTGGGCACCACAGCCCAGGATCAGCCGGTTGGGGCCTTTTTCCCATGGGGAGGCAGGCTCAGGTGGAGCTGGAGGTCTGCCTGGTGGGGATGGGCCTCACTGTGGAGTCCCATGGTCTGGGGAAGCTTCCAGTCTCTGGGGCTTCAGGACCATAGAGGCCCAGGTTCCCAGGCCCTCGAATGACACTAAGTTCCCAAATGCTGATCTGTGGACCAGGGCCAGGCAGCAACCTCAGAATCACTTGGGGAACTTCTTAAAACTCTAGACTCATGGACTTGGCCCCTGGAAATGTTGGGTAGGTCCTGGGAAACAGTGTTTTTAACAAGCTCCCTAGGTCATTCTGATGCACAGCCAATTGGGGGACTTGAGGCTTAGCTTTTTGATCCTAACACTTGAATACCCTCAATGGCATCACTGCCATCTTGGCTTGTTCATCATTGTCCATCCTTGGGTGTATCCACTAAAAAGTACATGAACTATCACTGGACCTCTCTACCATGCAATAGCTCCCAATACTGAACTGAAATCTCTTCCCAGGACCTCCGGCCATCCAATCCACTTCTGCCCTCAAGAATCACAGAGAACACTTCTGCCCCCTCTAGCCTAATGCAGCCCTTCAGATAATCAAAGTCATTACGTTACCCGTGAGTCTTCTCTTCTCCATATCCCTTCATGTGGGTCCCAGGCCCATCTGGTCAGCTTCCTCGGCACTGAACTTAATACCTCAGGCTCGGCTGCCTGCATACAGTTGCACAGATTGTGCACTGCACATCAGCGGGCACCATTCACACTGTAGTCTATAGGAGGGCACCTCCTCGGACTGTGCAGTGCACAGCCTGGGCGACCTTATGTGGTGGCCTTGACCTAGGTGAGTGTCTACTGAGCACAGAGAAGACTACCACCAGACCCTCCTCCATTCTGGACCCTCTACTTCTATTAATGCTTTCAAGTGACCCCAAGCCCTCTCTTGATTCCTGTTCAGAGTGCACTCAGAGACCTTGAGTCTTCTTTTCTTGGGTGGGTTGCCACGCCTGGTCTTCTGAAGTCTGTATTTGTGCCACTTGCTTTTTGGATTCAAGATCAGGAACCGCCATTTATTTTTCTGAACCCCATCTTGTCAGACTGAGACCACTGTCTGAATGGGGTACGTGGGTGTCACCCAAGAGTTGCCTGGACCCTAGACCCTGGCCCTGGGCAGCTGCACCCTGGCTGCAGGGGCCAGAGTTTGAGGCAGGCAAAGAAGGGAGGCAGGGAGGGGACTGCCCTTACTCCCTGATTCCAGGCCTTCTGCAGGGCGGCTTCAGCCTCGGCCAGGGTGTAGTCGGTCACAGTCTTGCCGTTGATTGCCATGACCTCGTCCCCTTTCACAACGCCACCTGCAGGAAGACGAGGCTGATTGACCACCTGGGCTGTATGTGACACAGGGCTTGGCAAAGAGGGTCACTGTAGGGCCCCAGAAGGAGCCTGATTCCTGGATTCTAAAAGCTCACATGAGCTCAGAAAGCGCAGGGGAAACGATCCACCAGGTTACTCAGAGGGCACTTCCTTCCCACTCCATCCACCCCCGCTCGCCGCAGCTCAGTAGAATCAGGACACCAGTGATGAATCCCACCCCAGCTACCCCAGCTTTCGTAGGGCCTCTGCTATTGCAGAAGGAGACAAACTAGCATTTCCAGTGGAGTTGTCAGAAACAGGAGCTAGTTCTGTGTGCCGTCCCTCTCTGCGCTCCAGCCCTGCTGGTCTGCCTCAGGTCCCTGAGCCCGCTGAGCTCTTTCCTGCCTCAGAGCCTTCACGTGCTGTTCCACCTGGAACACTTGTCCCTGCTCTCTTTCTTCTCTTCTTCTAGGTCTGAGATGACATGTCTCCTCCTCAGACAGGTCTTTTCTGACCCCCACTCACTCTAAAGTAGGTCTTTCCTCTTATTCTCTCACAGCATCCTGGTCTTTTCCTGCAGAGCATTTTTCACAATTTGTCCTCATCTATCTCTCTGTTGACTGATGGCCTCTCCCACCAGCCTGTCAGCCTCGTGAGGGCAGGGATTCTCTTTTGGGTTCACCTCTACATCCCCAGCACTTGACGTAATACCTAGCACAAAACAGGAATTCAATGGATATTTCTTGAATAAATGAATGATGTTGAAGGTGTTCCTGGATGAGATGACCTGTGATCTGATAAATTTGGGAAAAGCTGAGTTATAAGCTAAACACTTACTCACCGCAGGACTTGTCAGAACCTTGAATACGCTAATATGGATGTGGCTTTCTAAGAAGCAGACAGATTGTGCATGGTTTCCCATGTATCTTCAACCTCAGAACCTTTTTCTTGAGGAATTTCTGCCAGTCCTGATGTCTACAGAACACTCTGGGTTATGTTGAAAGACATCACCCAGAAGCCTTGCGGGCATGAAGGCCCATAGGAATGTGGTGTGTGTTACTGAAGATGGCAGCTGTGGTAGCATAAAACACACGTGCTCCTGGGAAACTCCCACCAGCTGCTTGTGTGTCCAAAGCAGTGCGGGAGCAAACTGTAGACAGCAGTTCCCTCTGGACAGCGGGCCTGGGCAGAGGTGACTTTCACGTTTTCATTTTGCACAAACCCAAGATGGAGCCCCAGGGGCAGTAAGGCTGTGGTTGGGCTGGGGCTTGGAGGGGGAGGGCCCAGGAAAGTTGGCCATCCATCCTGGTCCTCGTTCCCTGCTAGACACGCAGACAGGTGGCCTCCCTGGGCCAAGCAGCGACCTTGCCTCAAAAGGCACAGAAATAGGACAGAGGAGGAGGGTGTGGGCCGGGTGGGCAGCGTGGGCCATGCAGCTGCCGAGCTGAGGAGGCCCCCGTCCTACAGCTGAAATGAAGGCTCAGAGTGTGGCAGTGAGGGGCCTGAGGTCCCCGAGGCCGTGGGTGGCAGAGCTGGACTTGCCGTAGTAACCCACAGAGCCTGGCTGCTGGCGACCCAGTGACCTCATCACTCCACCTCCTGCCCCAGGCCCTCACCCACCTCCATTCTACCACCTCGGGCTTGTGGGAGAGCCTGACTCCGGCCTAGCCCTGCCCAGAAGGGGTCCGATCACGGCATTCCCTGCTCTGGCCTGGAAAGGGGAGGAGGAGGGCCTTGGGCTCCTCCTTCGAGGATACCTACTCCTCCACAAAAGGCTCGGGAGTACTGAAAAGCCTCCCGGACCTGGAAGAAGAAACCACTAACGGTGGCGTTTCAGACACTGTCTGCCAGGGCAGTGGGTGGATAGTCTGAGGCAAGAGTCTGTGCCTGCGGTCGGCGAGGCTTTGCTCCTCAGCAGAGCGCGTTTCTCTTGATAAGGGGATCAAAGCAAAGCAAGAAGATCATGCCGCAGAGAGACCCAGGGTGGGGGGCGCCCGCCCCTCTGGGAGGGGGCGAGGCAGAGGGGCACTCGTGCTGGGCCGTAAAGCACAATGACCCAACTGCCTGGGTTCAAGTCCCGCCTCCACCGCCTGCTGGCTGCGGGTCCTTGAACAAGAAATTTAACCTCCCTGTGCCTCAGTTTCCTAAGCTGTAAAATGAGAATAATAACAGGACCCGCTTTTGGGGTCGTTGTAAGGATTAAATGAGTTAATACACACCAACTACTCAGACACAAGATGATGTGCCAGGTACTTAGAACAGCATCCGGCACATCGTTCGTTCCTGACAGACACTGGCTCTTATCCTTGCTAGAAGGATGGGTAAGGTTTTGATGGTTTGTCCCCTGCCTTTACACGTGCTGTCTCCTCTTCCTGGAAAGCTCTTTCCCACCTTCATGAGGCTAACACCGACTGATCTTTTAAGGCCCAGCTGAGGCATCACCCTTCTAGGGAGCCTTCCCGGCAGCCCCCTTTCCCTTGGTGGGTTAGGGGCCCCTCCGGGTTCCCACAGCTTCCCTTCACCCCCCGAGTCCTCTGTCAGCCCTTAGCAGACCGCACTGTTATCGTCAGTACTAGGCAATTCTGAGCATATTTTCACCACAGGATGGGGCGACCCTGCAGGGCAGGGTGGCATCTAGTTGGCTGAGTACCCACAGGTCTTGGCACCACTGTATGCCCATGGGCAACGTGTGGGACTGACTGGATGGATGGACAGAGCCAGGTGGGGGTCATTCTTGAGCAACTCTTGACTCACTCCAAGCGGGCAGCTGGTGGCTTTCCTGGAGGGCCCTGTATAACCATCACACCGTCGCCACTCACCGTGCCGCTCAGCGGCTCCCCCCTCGTAAACAGCTGAGACGACCACCTTCCCGATCGGGGAGTCCACACCACCTTCCAGGGCCAGGTCTAAGGATCCTTCCTGGTTAGAGGAAAATAGGCCTTAAGGAGCCAAGCAGACAGCAACCTGTGGGCACTTGAGCAGCCAAGAGCCTCGTGATAGGGCCACAGAGAGGGCAGGAGAAAGCATGGGGCCAATGGCAGTGCTGCAAGGGAGAAAATGAGGCATGGACGCGAAGCGGGGCCTGGGTGTGCGGTCTCACCACAGGAAGGGCATTGTCAGGGACAGAAGAGCATAGTCGGGATCTGAGGGGTCACCCAGGAGTCATCTTGAGAGCAGGAGATGCAGGGGCCAAGATAGGAGGGGGCAGGGCAGAGAAGGGGGGTGGCCCACCCCACCTCCATGTACCCAGGTACCTTCTTGATGCGTAGGAGCCGGACATCCTTCCCTATGATCTGCTCGGGGGTGAACTGGAGGAAAAAGACAGTGGGGAACTGTGAGTCCACCTGAAGGATAAGGGTGGGGGCGGGGGTGGGAGGGGAAGCCAGGCACCCATGGGACATTGGGCCTCACAGAATACATGGACAAGGGGATCCTTCCTAGCCCCACCCCCAACCGTCTTCAACCGGGGGTCCCAAGCCCCATGGGGGACACATGGACACATATGCAGAGGTGGCCACACAGATCCCAGATCCATTCTTCCGGGGAATATTGTGAGACTGGGTGAGAGCATGCCCTGTAAACGCACAGCACGGTACCTGGCACCTAGTTACTGCTCAGTGGGTGTAACTGTTGTAATGAACCACACACACACACACACACACACACACTCCAGCCGTACAGTTCACACTAGAATGTAGTTTGAAATAAGCCTTCCCAGGAAAGGACAGTTGGGGCCTCCTTGGGGCTCCTCCCATGCCCCCCTCATCCCCGGGACCCCCAGGGCCCAGAATGCACCACCAAACACGCTATAATCTCCTGGACCATTCCTGGGATACCCCCTGGGGGAGGAGTTCTCTCTCACCATGGAATAGGGGTCGAAGCTTTCCTCATATTTCCGGAAATCCTGGGAGCAGAGGGAGGGTTTTAGGGCAACAGAGCAGAGGCCCCTGAGGGTGACTCAGGAAACAAGCTTAGGGCAGAGGAAGATGATGGTGAATGGGTCAGAGGCGGGGGGGAGGGGGGCAGGTGTGGCCTGCACTGGGGACACAGGGAGGAGGCTGGCAGCCCCAAGAGCCAGAGCACCCCTGCCCGGGGAGAAGCAGGAAGCTACGGAAGCGTGTGTACGACCCTGGCCCTGGCCCCCGCGCTGTTCCAGTGGGGTGGGCATCTGGCTGGCAGGGGCACCCGCAGACATCTAGGTGGCCTGGGCAGGTAGTGCTGGCCTTGCTGCAGGTCTCCTCTGCCCACAGCCCCAGGTCTTTTAGGTCCACCCTCAGCTCCTCCAAGCGCCCACACGAGGCCGGGTCCAGGCTCTGGGGGTGCAGCCCAGCTTTTCTCCACCCAGTACTCTGACCCCAAAGAAGCACCAAGACTGCTCAAGAGGCTGCTCTCCCTGGGGAAACCAGCCACAAAATGAAGAGGGGGGGGACAAAGGGACATCAGGCACAAAGAGGAAAAGGGGGGCGGTCTGTGCTTGCCCGGTGCCCGGCACTGTTAATGTGATGCTTATCTAGAAGGCAAGAGGCCTCCCCAGAACCTCAGCCAGGGGAGGAAGCAGGAGGACACCCAGCTTAGGGGACCTGGCTTGGTGGGGGCTGTGGGAACAACTTCCCCAAGATACAGAAACAAGGTGGTGAGAAGGGGGCAGAGCCAGAACACACCGCCTTCCCAGGAGTCACATGCAGAGAGCGGGAGCCCTGGGGCCACAGACTGAGGGACCAGGCACGCCAAGCCCGAGGGCAGCAAAGTCTCGGATAGTCCTCACATGAAGGTGGGAGCGAACGAGAGGCCCTGTGGCAGGGGCCCACACAGACCTTGCTGGACTGAGTGGCACCACCCCTGGCACACAGTTCCCTAGGCCACACCAAGTGTCCCCTAGGTCAACATCATGGGGAGGCCACAGTCCCCTCTATGCTCAGCTTCAGTAACGAAGCTCTGGGCACAAGATGAGGGCCAAATATCAGCAGAGGGGTCCCTGGGCAGCTGCCTGCCCTCCCTCATTGGCCTTCATCACTCAGGCTCGACCCCAAAGAGCCTGGCCCAGCTCTGAGGCCACCCCCAGGTCAGTCTGTGGGTGTCAGGGCAGCAGACAGAGGCAGTGATGCAGCAAATCCATGGGTAAGAGGACTATCAGGCAGCACTGGGGGTCAATGCTCTTTCACTGAGAGGGCCCTGCCTAACCCTGCCTGTTTCTTCTGGAAACCAGGCAATGCTGGCTATGGGTCTCCCTCCCCTTGAGAATCCGCTCTCAGCGACTGGCCAGGTGGCAATTTGTGTCTTGTGTGAATTTAGATCAGAGACTTGTAGGCTACTACAGCTGGTCAGCCCTTGTGGAGGGAGCCCAACCCTTCATCCAATGGATGGAGAAACTGAGGCCCAGAGAGGTGACATTCATGCCCAGGTCACCCAGTCAGTGGCCAGTGGAGCGAGGGTTTATCTCCCTTGGACACCTCATCTTCCCGCCTCTCTCCTTTGAGACCTGTTGCGTCCTAAACAACAAGTCCCCTAAATGTCTATTTCATAATCACGGTGCTTTGAGAGGCAGGAAAGCATAGCATTTAGGAGCCTGACTCTAGAGCCCGACCTCCTGCATTCAAACCTGGGGTCTCACGCTAGCTGTGCCATCACGGGCACGTTTCCTCATCTCTTTGCGTCGGTTTCTCATCTACAAAATGGGGATGATAACAGTACTTACCTCCTAGGGTTGTTGTAAAGAGTAAATTAGTTAATATACATAAAGTATTTAGAAACAGTGCTTGGCATAGTACACCTTCTAAGTGTTAGCTGTCACCTGTCACTGCCCAGTCATGTCTCACTCTACAGCTGGCACCTCCTCTTTGCTCCCTGCCTGTGGTCGAATCAGCCCGTGGTTGGGAGGTTGGCTGCAAGGGCTGGAGCAAGATCTCCATCTTGGGGTCTCTTTCATGGGTGGTGAGACAGCCAATCCCATGCCTGGCTCTAGGACATAAGCCCCAGGAGGGGTGAGGAAGTGGCTGCCTGCCTGATACCACTCATGGACCAGTAAGGACTTCTGCAGCCCTGTGCACAGGAGCACCCCAGGCAGATGGAGGACCTGGGCCTCCACTTCCTCTCTGATGCTGGGTCAGTGTCAGGTGGGGTTTGGTGAAGCTGTCATCTGCCTTGAGGGGACAAGCCAGGGGAAGGGGCAGGGAAACACCTCAGGCAGCCCCTTCTTCTGTCCTAGTGCTGGAGCAAGCACCCAGCTTGGCCTCTGTGACCCTCTGAGGGTTCCTTCTGCCTGCTCTTCTATGAACAAACAGCAGCAAAAGAACTGAGGCCCCGAGATCCTGCTGCTTTCTCAGCTGGGGCACCGGGTCTAACAAGCCCAGGTCCCCACCTGATATGACATCCTCCTCAACCCCTGGCTGCGGGCAATAGGGGACACAGTGCTGGCCTGAGGCTCCTGGCAGATGGCGCAGGGGGCCACCTCAGAGCCAACGGGCACTCCCAGAGAGAGAAGTCAGAGGGGAAGGGACAGGGGTGGCGGGGAGGACCACAGACACACGATGGATATCATTTTACTTGTCTGAACGCTGTCTGATAAACCACCATCCTCTTCAACATCTCCTGCGGCTGCCAGAAAAAAAAAATAGTTCCACACTGGACATCACTGATAGGTCTCGTCTGCCCCCTGGTGCCAGAGCCTGAGCCTGCCAGCCAGGGCTGCCCTGGCAACATCCCCCCACACAGACACAGCCTGACTTATGTGAGGGGCCTGCTCGACGTCCCCAGACACAGCAGCTACCCAGTTCCAGTCAAGCAGACAGCACCCTGTCATCAGCCAGAGAACGCAAGGCGGATGCATCAGCAGGCCGTCACAGGAGCATGAACTTGGCTCTTGGGGAGCTGACAGGACAGCGAAAGCTCAAAATAAGTATCTGAGCCGTGCTGCCCTGACATTTGGATAGGGTTTCCTTGAAAGACGAATAAAAATTCTGGCATGACTCCTCCTACTGTGGGAGGGCCTGCACCCCTGGAGGGGGACACATATGAGTCCCAGCTCTCTCAGCTGAAGGTGACTGGGGGTGGGCAGATGCTCCCCACACCCCAGAACCACCCCTCACACTCCCAGTCCCAGCGAGCAGTGAGAAGTGAGGTGGAGAAAGGGAGCGGGTCTGCTTTGGCCAGCTCCTCATCTGAGGTGGCCCACGACACAACAGGCCTTAGGGGCGGAGGCCAGGCAACTGGAGTCACTGTAGGTTCTGGCAAGATGGCAACGGAGGTAAGAACTTGGGCTCTGGAGTCAGAAAGACGCTGGAGTAAGGAGTAAGTCCTGGCGCTGCCTCGGGCAACCGACTTAATCTTGTAAGCCTCAGTTTCCTCAAGTGTCAAACACGGAGAACAACAGGAACCCTCTCCCGGATTGTTGGGAGGATTAAATGAGAGCGTGCAGAGCCCAACACACGGTAGGCTCGTAATTAGTCTGGGATGTTATTATCAATCCTTTTAGACGGCGCTCCAGCCTGTTGGTCAGGTGAGGAACAGAGTTTCACTGGTCGTGTCAACACCCGCTTACACCCATGTGGATTCACCTCTTGGCCAGTGAGAAGGTTAGGAGATGGCACCTGATATGAGTTTGTATCCCACCTCTCTCTGTCTCCAGCAGAACCCAGGGGAGACAGCCCTTGTCTGCTCCTCTAGAGAGGCCCTGGAGTGGACCCGAGGGGCTTACCAGGACCTCGGATTTCACGGCTGGCCTGTAGATGAAGTTGGACTCCTGGTGGACCATGACAGGTTTGGAGATGGTGGACACGCCAGGGCCTCGTGCAGGCTGTGGGCTTGGGCAAAATGTCTACAGAGTTAGTTTAAGAGAAACCCATGTGACGTCATGGCAGGGGTGGCCTGGGCCAACCATGGCACTTCAATACACATGCAAATGCACACCACGCACGTGCTGAGCCAGCCTGGTCTGCTCGCCCTGCCCTAGGGGCTATGGGTGTGATCTTCAGCAGAGAGACGAGAAGTCCACTGGCCACAGTATGCTATGAGGCCACACAAACTACTGGGTGGCTCTAAGGAACCAGGGATTGAGCCAGAGCCTAGTTGTGGGGCGCCAGCAGCCACTGTCACTCAGAGGATACACTTTCAATGCTCTCTCCTGGTGGCCTCAGGTGCCATCCAGCCTCCTCTCTCCCTAAGGGCTCTCTCTTCTGGCCACAGTTCCAGTCCTGGACTACACGCAAAGCATATGCTGTTCCTGGTGGGTGGGCACAGAGTCTCTGGAGGCCGGGGGTGAGGACCAGTGAGAGCAGCATCCAGAAGAGCTGATGTAACCTGTTTGCTCTGTTCTAATCCACCTCACCATCTCGGGCAAGACAAACTGGATCAGGTCACAACCCTGCCCCCAACCCCTGATGGGTCCCCACTGACTCCTGAGCTCCTTGGCTTGATCCTCAAGGTCCTTCATGAGCTTCTCTACCTTCCTTTGCAGCCTCATTCCTCACTCCTCACCTTCCTCACACTGCCTAATGTTAGCCTCCCAAATGCCAGGCTTCCTTGCCTCAGGGTTTTTGCACATGCTCGTCCCTCCTCCTGCTTTACCTGCCCAGGTCTTAGCTTGGCTATCGCTGCCTTCAGGAAGCATTCCTTGAACTTTCTTCTGCATCACCACCCCTCATCACAGCACCTGTGGTTCCCCCATCCCCCCGGAAGTGTGGTAGTTTCTTGCTTAGTTGTCTGTCTTCCCCCAAGACTGTCTCGGGCCAGGACTGCGCTGCCTATTTTGTGGTGGCTCTCCAGGCCCAGCATAGTCTGGCATATAGTAGGTGCTCACGAAACATGTTGCATGAATAAACGAATGACTCAATAATATGGTGGGCACATGGGACAGCGCCTGGGGGTAGATATGGCCCTGAAAACCTTCCTCAGGAAGGTGGTGGTGTGGCAGGCACACGTGCCAGGGTGACACAGGTGTTTGTTTCTACCATCTGAGGCCTGCTGGGATGGGGCTGGCTGCAGGTGTGTGATCACCACACTTCCTGCTGCAGCCCTGATGACCACCTGCCCGGAGCATCAGGGAGGAGGCAGGGTTGGGCAGGTGGTGCCAGGGCCAGGTGCGGACGTGGGCAGGACGCAGCTAACCAAATGGCAGCCCCCCCGCCTTCGTGTCAGGGACGACCCTGGCTTTGATGTCACTTAAGCAGTGATGGTCAGTTCTTCAGAGGCTCCTCGTGTTGGGGGAGCTTTTAACGTTCCCTGTTCTCTGAAGGGGAACTAAGAGTGGGAACTTTGTGATTCCTGGAGAAATCCGAGAAAGCTGGACCCTGTTTTGAATCTTGACCCTGACTCAAAAGTTTGCAGAGTTTACCTCCAATCTCATGTTGGTAGTTTCATCCAAATTTTCTTGTACCCTCATATGTCACTGATCATAGTTAATGTCTACTGAGCACCGACTACGTGCCCGCCCCCTCCTAAGTATTCATTTAGAATGAGTTCATGTATTAACTCACTTGATCCTCATAATAGGTAGGTACCATTAGCATTCCATTTTATGGACGAGGATACCCAGGCTCAGACAGATGAAGTAATGCAGACCCTAAGTCATCCAGCCAGTGGCCGAGCCAGGATTCACACCCAGGAGGTTCCTCCTTGCCATCTTTATGTTCCCTGCACTTGCAATGCCCTCCCTCCCATCCTCCATATCGCCATCTCTCAAGGCTCCGCTCATAAGCCCTTTACTCTACAGAGGCTCCTTCACCTCCCACTAGTATGAATCCCTCCCACAGCACCTGGCCAGTGCCAATTTCATAGCTGAATCCTGCCTGCTCAGCTGCTCATCCTTCCGACGGCAAAGTCCTAGAAAGCACAGGTGTGCCAACCTTCTGTGTGACTCGTCAGCACTGCTCCCCGGCCCCCTCACACAGAGAGGTGCAAAGCAGGCGCTCAATCAATAATTGCTGAATGGGATTTGTCGAGGAAAAGCTGCCACCCATCTTGGTGGGGACCACTCACAAGAAGGATGTGGTCCTCTTCATCAGGCTAAGTGAACCCCCTGCGAACCTGCTCCCGGCTGGGCTCTGAGGCAAGACATCCCTGGGACAGACAGACTTCCTTCTGTCGGCTGCAGGGCTCAAGACTCCACCGGAGGTCCAGAGCAAGTCCCTCTGAGAGTCCCCCGCCAGAAGCTGCAGCCTTGGTGGCATCCGGCACTTCCTTCACTCCCACCTTCGTTCCCCTGAGCGCTCTTGAATGCTCTGAGATGCCTACTCTACTCTTCACGCAGGAACTCAAATCCATGCAGGGAAGGTTCATAAAAACCACTGATCAGGTACTGACTGCGCCCCGCCCCCCCCCCCCCCCATCAGCGACATGAGATGCTTTAGCTCTGACTCAAGCTACTGGTGTCTACTGAGTAGACAGCTACTGATGCAGAGGAATATTCTGTTTTTCCATCAGCGAGACCAAAGCTCCACGTCTTCCTTGGGGATTGCCTCTTCCAAAATAGTCTTCGGATTAAGAACAATTAATAAGAAATATGTCTTTTGGGGAAAGATCACTGTTCTGCCTCCTGACATCCAAGACAAAGATCCCTAGTCTTTTAAAAGTAAATTTGGAGGTTTCTAGGAACTCTCCATCTTCATCTTTCCTGTAGCTGGAAGTTGGCCAGAAATTTCTGGGTTCATACTTCAAGCCAAGGTAGTTGGCTAGTGCTGTAGAAAATGGCGTGGCCATGTCCTAATACCGCATTGGACAGTGTTACCACCTCATTTACGGACGCTAATACTGCTCCACTGCCCCCCCTCCCTTCTCCCCTGTTAAACCAGGGGTTTATTTCTCATCGTCAAGGCTTTATCGAGAAATGACTGGCTGTAACAGAGAGCTCTGGCTATTCATTAACATAGCCTTGCAAGTACTACATTGAATGTTACCAGCCCATACTAGCCAAGAGCAGTAAAGAGAGAGCAACGACACAACATTGACACACCGTTGCTCATCCCAAGTTATCACAGGCAATTCACCATACAATACAGCACTTCAAAATCAGCAAAAACCACACCCATGCTGGATGACCACAATACGCTGGCTGCAAAGCTCATTCCTAGAAAGTGGGGTGGGGTGATGTTTCCTCCCACCTCCACTCACAGGAGCAGAGGAGGACACGGGAAACAGCAGCCCTGCCCACTCGTCCCACTTCCCAGCACAGCATTCAGCACAGGGGTAGTACCTTTGCCGGGAGTGGGAAGCTCCGTCCAGGGATGGGGGAGCTGGTGGGCTTCCCACTGTGGTTCTTGGGCTCCCAGTCCTCTGTTGGATTGCCTGTATCCCCAGTGCGGAAGGGGTGGCTGCCCAGTGCCTCTTCCAGGGCCGAGGGCAGTGGGCGGGTAGGAGTGAGGTCTTGGGTGGGAATAGATGGAGGGGGAGGGATGGGGATAGGGGGTGGAGTGCGCTGCACCCAGGGCGAGGACGAGGCGCTCACGCGGCCTGAAGAGGGAAGGACAGGGGGTGCCGGGACCTTGGGGGGTGGGTTGGAGGGTGGAGGGTGGGGCATCACAGGCAAGGCAGAGGGAGTCTTGGGGGGATAGTAGAACATGTCCAAGGGGATGTCATCCAGGTCAGTGGTGTGCAGGTGCAGCCCGCCTGCGAAGCGTCTCAGGGGTGGGACCAGGGGAGACACAGAAGGCGGGGGAGGCGGGGGCCCTGTGGTCATCTGGGGGGTTACAAGGAAGTTCTGTAATTGTCCGACTAGGGCTCCACTTCACAATACATCGAGTATAATGCTCCTCCTTCTGTGTGTCTTGCTGCTGGAGACCCACCGCCCTCAAACCAGAACCACAGGGCTGTCATTTCTCTGTCCCCTGGGTGCCCAGCTGAGCCCACACCAGACAGCCGGTAGGGAGTGCCCAAATGCAGGAGGGTCCCGAGTTCCGCCAGATGTGGGTGATACGGTGACCACACAATTTATCATCTAAACTAGACCACACTTGACAGCGAAAGGGGCACTCGGTAATTACATGAGGACAACAGGCCTCACTGGGACCATCTCAGACGAGCTGAGACCTGTTGGTCACTCTGGAGACAAGCCCAGATCCACAGATACGTTCCCCTGCTCAAGAGAGGAAGGAGGAGTGGGCTGGTGAGGGTGGGCCCTGGACAGTGAAGCTTCCCATGGCCATCTCGCCTACCGCTGCCCCCAGGGTGGGTGGTTCTCAAGGCTGCAGGGGGCTCTATGTGGAGAGAAGGGCCCTGTTACCTCTGAAATCTCATTATCGGCAGAGGAAATCTGCTCGAGGCGCGTCTGACAGAGCCTCTCCACCCAATACTGAATCTTTTCCGACTCCTCAAGGTCTTCCCGCTCTGTCTCGGACACCTGGGACCCAGGGCCGGCGCAACAAGGGGAGGACAGAGGGGACACTTGCGTCACATGTGGGCGGCACACTCGGACCAGCAGCACAGAAGCACTTCTTAAAAACCCCAGAGCACTGTCGGGTGTGTCAGCTTTCTCGAAAAAGACCCAGCTTGTTCTCCCTGGCCCCAGAGGATGAGGAAACTAGGGGGAGAGGGTGTCGAGGTGTCCGGTTATTATGGGCACTTGCAGGCAAAATTAGAGAAAGGGCTCATGCATTACGTGGGATTAGCTGGCCCCCAGGATCCCCACCAATGCTGAGGCTCTTAAGATTCTCCAAGAATGGTTCTTTTGTAGGCTCCCGGCACATTCCAAGAGTTTAACTTTACTCTTTTTTTTTGCCCCCTCCAGGCTGCCTTGTCCTCAGAAGAACAATTTGATTTTATTTTTAATTTTGTAGCTAATTTGTTCCTAATGCCAGACCTAATGCACTTCACATTTTCCAGGACTTCTCTGGTTTTGTAATCTAATCAGCTTGGCATTCTGATTCATGAAAGCATTAAAGAGAAGCAGAACCAATAACATCTTCAACAGCTAGGGAGTTAAGGTCACCCGTCTCACCTAGGAAATAGGAATTACTCGTGCAGGAAGACTGCTTTTGGCATGTCTGCAAGGGGACAGCCTTAGATATATTCCCGGGTTGAGGTCTAGATTCAGACACACCCCATGTTGATGGGAGCAGCCTCAGACTCTTAGCCTGATTAACTGGGGGATAGCCTCAGACGCTTCACCTGCACAAAGGGGCTAGCCTCAGACCCATACCCTCAGAGCTGAGACAGGTTGGGGAAACCTAGTCTTTGACTCATAACCTGGGTAGTGGGCCAAACTGACTCAGACCTCATGACAGGTGGGGGGAAGGCTAACTGCACATCTACAGTCTAGGCAGAGGGGTTAGCCTCAGACTCACACCTTGAGTAGGGAGATAGGCCTAACAGCCACATCTCAGGTGGAGAGGCCTAGCCTTGGACTCATACTCTGGTGGGGTGGGGGCAGAGAGGACAGACTCAAACCTCTTGCCAGGTGTGTGGAGGGCTAATCTGAGTTCTCCAATGTGGGCAGAGGGGCAAGCCTCAGACAATACCTCAGCAAGGAGGCTGGTCTCAATCCGAAACATACACCTAAGCGGGAAGCTAGTCTCAGAAGACCCAGCGCGGGTGGGATGGTCTCCCTCTCCAGGAGGAGGGCAGGGCTCACTCCATCCTTGGACTCCATTTGCGGAGAACAACTCCAGCTGGTTCCCTGGTAGCACGGTGGGGAACAACTGAATCGCACCCCAGGGACCTTCACCTGGCCTGTGAGCAGGACACGCACCTCCTGGGCCAGCCGGTTGATCTTCAGTTGCTTTTCCTTTTCCAGCATTTCCTCTTTCTCTTTGTAAAGCTTTTGTTCAAACTCCAGTTCCTTCTTATTCTTTCTCAACTCCTGCAGGCTGTCATACTTGGCTTTCTTCTTATCTTTTCCTTTCTGAGCAGATGTGGCATTGTTTACATGACAAGGGCTACACGGGAGTGTTCACACTGGCACAGCACGGCAAACAGGGCATTCAGTCCTCAGACAACAGCAGGCAACCAGCCCACGGTTGGTTGGAAACCCTCCCCCAGCCCTGCCCCTCCACCCTGGGCATCGGACCTCAGGTTCAGGACAGGCAGGCCGCTGCCACCCATTGCGGAGTGGGAGAGTTCACTAACTAGCTGGGTGACCTTGGCTAAGTTCCTTAGCCTCTCTGGGCTTGATTCACCTCATCTCCAAAATGAGGGAAAAAACCACCCCATAGCCTTGCCATCCAGAGCCAATGAAATAATATCTATGAGAAAGCTTTGTGAACTTCAGAGTGCTGTATAAATAAAACCCATTGTATTTATTTCCTAGTATCTGGGCACATGCCTTCTCTATCATCTGGAGAGAAAGGTGTCTCATGTTCAGACACCACAGATGCATCCTGGGAGATTCTACAGAAAATCGGGGAGAGCTGGCAAGCCCCATGCACGGATCCTCTGTCCTGAGCTAGAGAGGTGGGCACCAGCCTCAGACCTGGGAGCCCAGAGCCAGGGACATCAGATTTGGCCCCGATGTTTAAGCTCCAGACCATTTCATCCTGGAGAATCCAAACCCACTGTTCCCTCTGGACGAGGCCCCTGAACTGAGGATTAGCCAGAAACTATAGGGCTGGGAGATGGGGGTAGGGGGAGAGACCAGCCTGACTGCTTTTTACCGGCTGTCAGTGTTTGAGAGGATTTGGGAGGGAGATGCAGGGCAGACAGACTCCTTATTTTTCCTGTTGGACTTGCACCTGCAAAGCCTGCTTTCCTGGCTGCTTCTCCCATGGGGTTGCAGGGAAGCCAAGGAGAAAGAAAGGAAGAGAATGAACATCTGTGGACTGCCTATGTACTGAGGGATTGACATTATCTCACATGTAGATATCGTCCTCTCTCTCGATGAAGGAGCCCAGGCGCAGAGAGGTGAAGTCCCTTGCCTGGTGTTAAACACCTAGCAAGTGGTGGTGCCAGGTTTTGGACCTGAGTCTTCTGGGTCCCACAAATTATCTACTGTGCCCTGACGAGCTGGGGGAAACGGGAGAACGGCAGGAGGAAGGTCAGCCCCCGTCACACACAGTATGGAGCACAGAGCACTCGGGAGAGGGGACAGCAGAGAGTCAACACTCTGGGGAATTCTGGGTGAAGGAGGGAACCCGCATGTTCACTGAGCTCACCCCCACCCTCTACAAGCTTCCTGGGGCCTGCTCTCAGAATTCCTGCATCATCCCAGCATCCAAGGCCAGGAGTGAGCAGTGGAACTTCCCCGCAACAGACACACAACTTCGTCCACAGCTGGAGGGACATGGGGGGTTATTTTGGACCTATGCCTGAGTCATCCTGCCTCCTCTCCTAAAGACAACCCCACCTCTGTACACAGGTAATGTGCTTTTGAGATGGTCTCCCATCTGGGGGACAGGGACCCACCCCACAGCAGTCTCTGAACCACATGAGAAAATGGTTCTCATTGCTTCCGAGTCCTGCCTGCTCCCTCCGCGTGCCCTGTTCACTAGACTCTTGGCTCAGTTGATAGATGAATCCTTCTCATTATGTTGTAGATTTAGACAGCAATTCCCCAAGAGGAGCCAGACACATCCTGCCTAATGGCAGCCTGCTAGAGTAAGGGCATGGCCTCCCACAGGGACCACCATGATAGGAAAGGCCGTTCTGTTGGTTTTAAAAAGCCCACGAGAGGTAAGATTTGAGAGCTAGGGTTCCTGGCTGGAGCACGCAGATGGGACTGCTTCCTTCCACTGCAATCCTCATCGCATTGCCTGCTGACCATGGCCTAGCCTCCTCCGTACGGGTTACATAGCTGGGGGTGGATCTGCCTCCCCCGCCAGAGGAGGGCTCCTAAGCAGGGCTGGTCTGCTTGATTGTCTCAACCAGTCCTGGTGAAAGGGCTGCATCAGAACCTGAATCCTTCAGGCCCCGGCACAGACTTTGTGGGGCCACTGGCCTGGGGGCCTTGAGATCCAGAGGGACTCACTGCCAGGTTAGGAATAGAAGACATTGAGTTATTTTTTCAAATAAGGGGAATTCCGTGCATTGATGATCAGGGCCTTAGAGAGCCACTTGTACCACCTGGGGACTCAGTGCTCCACTTGCTGGGAGACAAAGCATCTCGCATGGTTCTGGGGAAAAAGACAATGGATTTTCAGAGCCAGCGGGAGGGAAGTGATTCTGTTGTCCTTCAGATGTCAGTTAAATTTATGGCAAATACTTCTTCTGGTCCTGACTGAGAGGAGAGGTAGATGAGGTGGACGTGCTCTTGTTTCTACCTAGAAGCAATTTTCCTCTCAATTGGAAATGAAATGAAAACTGTAATACCAGCTATATGTGGAATGACAGAACTAATGAACAGGGGAAAACAGGCCTCTTTACCAACAGCAATTTTCAAGTGACATGATTTCTGAAGGGAGGTGTGTGTGGAGGAGACGCTAATTCTTTTACATTTACCTGGTTATTAGTGCCTGGAAACCAGTTTACCTGTCTGTCTCCTTTTATTATTTTTTTTCAAGTAAAATCCTGTGTGTGTGTGTGTGTGTGTGTGTGTGTGTGTGTGTATGTTTTGTCCCCTCTAGTTGAGTTCTAGGAGAGACTGTATACAGAGAAGAATTAGAAATCTAACCCCAGGAGACATCCTAAGCCATAGAGGCAGACTGCAAAATGAAAAGCACGGTCTATGAGGCCAAGGCCTTTCTGAGACCACAGTGGGGTGGAAAGCAGGCCCCTGAGGTGCTCTGTCCTAAGTTTATTCCATGTCATACGAGTAATGATCTGTGCTCCTAGGTAAAGACCTTCACCTCTGTCAGGAATAACATTGCCGCCTATTATCTTAACAGTGTCAGGTTGGAGGAAGGGGGTAGATGTTTCCAGCACATCAGATATTCCCATTTTACAGGCAAGGAGAAGTTCCGTATCATCAAGGTCACCCAGCTGCCAGCGCTTTGGTTTCTGGGGGACCAATATCCCGCCAGACAGAGCTGGTTGAGTGATGACACCTAAATTAGTTCACCCAGATTTACACTGATGCCTGATTCGCAAATACCAAGTCATCTCGAATGTCCGGTCTGCAGACAGTAACAGCAGCGTTTTCATAATCAAATGCCAAAGTGATTTAGAAAGAAAAAGGACGAGAGAGTTTTATGGGGCCTGGAGATACAATAATAAGATTTAGAGAGAAAATTCAGGGCCCCAGAGGCAAGAAAAATGCATTATCCTGGGCACACGCAGAGACATTTCTAGGAGAGAGTCACGGATAGTGTAGATCTTTGTCCCAACCTGAGGCAGCAAATCCTCCCTCAGCAGCCAGTCGGTGTCTGCCACAGTCGGTCTCACAACCTGCACTGTGTACACTCAACCTGATACTTCACTCTGTCTGACCTTCCGGTCTTGGCCTCTGATTCTACTTAACAGAGGAAGAAGCAGAAGCTTCCTGCCTCGGCCCGGCCCTGCCCTGCCCTGTGCCCACTGGGGCTGGCGCTGACCCAGATGGTGCCTGATGGTACTGGGGCAGGTCTCATTCCGTGAATACTTTCCCCACAATACCTCCGTGACAGCGCCCTGCCTTCTGACATCAGCCTGACAGAGAGGTGCATGGGGGGTTAGCCCTCCAAGTGAACAGGCCGGGTCACACTGTAGAGACTTGACAGGAAAAGAAACAAAGTTTGGAAAAGGCCAAAACCCACAGCAAACTCAGCAGCAAACCAGCATGGCACCCAGTCCTGTCCTACCTTCCGGATGGTTGGGAATTTGCCATCGTAACGATAAAACCACCCAAAGGCTGTAAGAACACAGAGAACAAAGCCATGAGACGCAGCACAGCTCAGCCCAGAGTGTCCACAGGCAGCAGCCAGGAGTGGGGTTCCCAAGGAACGTGTGGCTTTGTGGGATGACGAGCGGCACTGGCAGATCCAGCAGCAGAACTGCCCCCTCTGTCCGACTCTCCACTTACCTGGCCTCACCTGGGGTGGAAAGCAGGCCCAAGACCTCCTGAGAAAGGCCCCGATGCCCAGGACCTGGGCCAATGTCAACTGCCTCTCCCAGGACACTGGCTTCAGAAGTCAGTGCCAGAAAATCAGAGAAAGCCCCTTGTGGAAGGATGAGCTTTTCCAAATCACGGCCATAGCTCTCCAAACACAAAGCCCCATTGAAAGAGAACAAGGCCTCTCCTGACTGACATCGGCTTCCTCCATCCAAGAAATGGCCCGAGACAAAAAGGAGCCTGGGTGTCTGCCTAGAGCTGCTGTCAGATGGAACAAACTGTCTTGTCTCCTGGTACAGGCCAAGTCCTCTGCTTTCAATGTCGAAAGAGAAGGCACTGGCCGGGGGCAGCTCTGGGAAGGACGGCTCAGGCAGCAGTGGGCAGGAGATCTGCCTCCAGAAAAGCATATCCCCATCCAGGCCAGATAACCAGGGCACCAGCCCCCTGTCTTCCCCAGGCAACAGCACAACGGGGTAATACTGCAAACCTGAAGCTCCCCGGGCCAGCGGTGATGGCTTAAATGATTATCCACCCTTGACCAGCCTGAGTTCTGGAACAAGATCTTGAACCAAGCACTACCCCCTTAGTTGCTGGATCTTGGGGAGATCTAGGGAGTCCTGGGGGAGAGGCCAGAGCAGCAGAGCAAGGACTTAGGCAGGGGCAGGACTTAAATGTTTGAACCAGTAGTTCCGCTGTACTAGTGTGCGCCAGCTGACACGTCAGTCCTGTCCTCAAGGTTGTGTGGGCAGTGCTTGGACCAAGCCGGGGCTTGGAGGAGCTTCATAGACTCCAGTGGTCCCCACCACATGCTGACCCCTTGGAGTTGGGTGTCTGCAGGGCTAGCAGGAGGAGGCAGGCAGGGCAAGCAGAGCAGCAAGGCCAGGGAGCGAAGCGGGGGCTGCAAACCTGCTCTCCCCGCTCCTCCGTGCCTCCATCCGGGTCGTCTGCTGGCTCAAGCTCGGGCTCCACTCCCTGATCATCTACCCAGGAAAAGAGGAGGAAGCTGGTGAACCAAGAGAGACTTGGGGGACCAAGAGGCCAGAGGCGTTTCCGAGGAGCCTGGGGACCTGTGACCAGCTTCCTCTATGGGAGCTGTGAGGTCAGGGCAGGAACAGCACTCAGGAGCCCAGAGCAAAGGTTTGTTGCTCTGGGACGGTGCATGCAGTGCTTTCAACCTTGGTAGCTTTAGTTTCTCTGTCTGTAAAATGGGCTAACAACAGGGGCCTCTGATCTGACCGCAGAGTGACAGCCATTTTGCAGGGCATTCGGTTGAAACTTGGGAGTGTGGTACAGGGGATGGGAATATCTGAGTATTGTACACGTTTGGTGCCAAGGGCTTACAATGGGAGAGCAGATCCTCCTGGCTTCTTCTTACCACCTTTGGAGCCCTGGGTCCCGGGGATGTCAGAGCTGTGCGGGTGGGTTGGGGATCTTAAGGAGGTGAGGAGATTCCAAAGGGTAAAAGGGGCACATGTGGTTAGCAAGACGTGAATTTTGACGCAACATGGAGAATAGCAAACCACCCATTCCAGTGGTTTCCAACCTGGACTCTGGACTCCCTGGGACCTGGAAGGTAGTGTATGAGTCTGCTGTGAGCTGGTTATTAATAATTCAAAATATTAATTAGAAGAACTTGTCCATTAACCTTTAAAAAGGCTGCAAGTTAAGTTCCTTTGCTTTTGGTTCAATTTATGCTTATTCAACAGTGGAGCACTGACACTATCTTGCTAATAAGAATGTCTACTTAATAAAACAAAGGGAACACAAATGATTACTTAATAGTTTGGTAGGAAAAAAATTCAACTTCCAAACCATGGGGTCTATTGGGGATGGAGGCTAACTGACAGGGTCCTTGATGGGGAGAGAAGGCTGGAAATCTCTTGCTTAAACCTTCTCATCTCTCAAGACTCCTTCCAGCTCTGGGGTCTTTAATACCCTCCCCGCATTGCTTTAGCTAAGGAAAGTTCTTCTGGGGGCCTCTGTGACAGTGTGTCATGGACTTGAGGGCTGGGTTGGATGTTGGGGTTCTGCTGGGTCGGCCATGGTAGCCAGGCAGAGCCCCCGGGACAGGTGGTGGTGAGGGGAGCAGTCAGTCCCACCCACATTGTTAGGATGAGTGGCTTCATTTTCCAGGCAAGAGATACTCCACATTCTTTCCTATCTGTTCAAAAAATGCAGGGTCCACTCTTCACAGGCACAGATACCTGAGTCAGGTATGACCCCAGAGCTGAGGAGTGGTCAGGGAGGGGCTGGCTGCAGCCTGGTCCTGCAGACCCAACACGGCCAAGACCATCCCAGCCTCCCAGGAATGGGGAGAAAGGCAGGAGTTCAGCTGGCTCAGAGGCCTTCCTGTATGTCCTGACTTATCTCCAAACTGGAATTAAATCGCTGGTGCGTATGGAGATGGATGGAGGCGGCAGTGCCCCAGCTCAGGCCGGCAGACTCCGGTCATCAATCTCACGCTTCATGGCATTCCCTTAGAAAACATTTATATCTCGAGCAAAGGGAAATTTCTTACTCCTTTTATTCAAAAAGCTTGACTAAATAAATAGCTAGCTAGAGAACAGGTTTTTGTTTTCTATAGTTCCTGAGAGGGTGTGTTTGTTCTAAAGCCAAGACCCAGCTTCTAGGAAGTTACTACATTGACTAGGATTACTTTCATGAAAAGCAATTAAAATCGATTTCTCTCCTTCTAAAGCTCCTACTGCACTCATAAGAGCACATTAGCTCCCTGTCTAAAACACAGATTATTCACCGGGAATTTAGCTCTGACCATATCCTCAACTAATACCGAATGTCACGGGGGAGGCTGATGAGAGCATGCTTTGTCCTTCAGAGAGGACCCTGAGGTGACACTGTGCCCTGCTGCCAGGAAAGAATGTGCTGGGAGCTGTTTGCCCTGCACTGGGGTGGGGGGAAATGGAACCATCCAGATGCCCTGCACCTCTTCGTTGATCCAAGTTGATGTCCCTCTAGGGCTCGGGTATGATTCAAAGTTGGGGCCAGAGCTGTCCAGACCCCATCACAGCATCCCAAATGGTTGCCACACAGCAGGAATGGGGAACCTTGGTTCTTGGGTGCAGATTCACCCCGTATCCGGAGGTTCCCAGGTCAGCTGAGCACAATAAGCTGGAGTAGAACCTGCCCCATGTCAGGTACAAATCAAAACAGTTGTCAAGTGAGAGTAAAGGCCCCACCAGGCATCCTGGATGTGTGATTGCCACGGTCCCCAAGCTGCCTGGCTCCTGGCTCCCCACCACAGGCCCAGTGAAGAAGCACTGAGATTGAGCCCCCCACTTTGCTCTGGTGGTGTGAGCTGCCCCTTGAAGAGACACCCTGGGAGTTAGGGTTGAGAGCAGGTGGGCAGGGGAGCAGTTGGTTGAGGTCTGGACTGAAACTGGAGGTGAGACTGCAGGACAGATCAAGAAAGGAGATGGGAGGGCAGAGGGAGCTGAGGCCCCAGGATGGCCGCAGTTTGGTGCCTAGGAGGGGTTTCACAGTCCCGACTCCATCCGTGGAAGGGTAGGACCACACAGGGTCCACGTACAGGGATGCAGGTGGTGGGGCACTTCAGGTAAGCTCCTCTCACAGTCGCCCATCAACCCTGGACCACCAGAGTCCTCTCTAACATGAGCCCCGTCCCCTCTTTCTTGCTGCTGTTTCACCCCAGCCCCAGTTAAGAACCAGGCGGGAAGAGGACCTGACACCCAACAACTAAGATGATAATCCCACGAGCAGTTCACTTTTGACACAGCTCTCCACTCCTTCTTCAGCAGCCCAAGGGCGGGGGAGGGGTCCGCCTGCCTGTGTCATGAGGCCCCCAGGACAAGAAGGGCAGACAGATCTCACCCCAAGGCCCAGATGATAATCCCATGAGCAGTTCACTTTGACACAGCTCTCCATTCCTTCTTCAGCAGCCCAAGGGCAGGGGAGGGGTCTGCCTGAGTCTGTGTAGTCGGGGAGAGCCTGGCAGAAGACCCCCAGGACAAGGAGGGTAGACAGATCCCACCTCAACGCCCTGGCAGACAGCCCCTGGCACATGGCTGCCCCTCCATGAAGGAAACGCAGCCCAGACAGCCACGGGCTATCCACCTGGGGAGGTGGTGGTGAGTGAAGGGAGACCAGCGTCTCCGTCTGGACCCCCAGTCCCTGGCCCCAGAAGGAAGCCCTCCCCTTGCACGGGATACGTACACTTGGGCTTGCGAAGGGGCACTGGGTGCACCTCGGCGGTGATGGTTTTAGGCGAGAGCAGCTGTTCCTTAGAGCCCCAGTCTTCTTCCCACTGCTTCTTAAACTTCTCTTCCTCCTCCGCGATCCTGAAATAAGACCCCCACGCCTGTGACTGGAGTCAGAACCTTCTCGGGCCCAGCTTCTGCCTATGGGGGAACCCCAGCCAGCCTGGGAGAGGCCACATGGTTCTAGCCGTGGTGGAGAAAACAAAGTCCCTGGCACTTGTCTTCTAAATAGAGTGTGAACCCCACCCTGCAATTATAAGACTCTGTTCTAGTGACCCTAATGTGATGGGCTTTACTAGGATTAAGGAACGGCTGTAAACAAGGGAGGATCCACCAGGGGACCAAAGGGCCAGTTAGACTGGGCCTAGAGATGGCCTCTGGCTGCCACACTCCCGAGAGCACCCTCACGTCCACACACAGACACGTGTGTGCAGACATGTGGAACCAGGGTACTCACTGTTCCATCTCCTTCCGGTATCTCTCATTTTCCTCTGCTGCCTTCTGGGCAATTTCCTTTCTCCTTCTGAAACACAAATGTAAGTTGGTATGTTGGAGTCTAAGCAAGAGAAGTTAACTCTCCCTTGTGGCTAATTCCTGCTTTGACAAAAGTTTTAAGTATTTCTTCCAGGCTCCCTCCCAAGGACGCATGGACCAGAGGGGGATGCTGAGGATGTGGGTCTGACAAAGCCTGGGCTGCATACTCTGTGGTTTTGGCTGGCACTGCTGAGCAGAGATTTTGTGCTGTCAGAGCTAGGAGGCAGGTCTATGTGGGCCACATTCTACGGGTCCACCTCCAAACCCTTAGATAAAGTGACTGACCATGGGCAGGGCCTGGCCTGAGTAAGGTCCTCCACGAGGAGGGCCCCAGACCCCAGGTAGCCAGGGCTGCTAACCAAGGCCAGGGCAACGGGCAGAGGTACCACCCAGGGTGCTTCTCCAGGCCAATTCTGTGATGGGGAGATGGGAAGATCCTGTTTACCTTCCTTTTCCAAATTCTTATTATGCTCCTACAACATACCTGGATTTGGGTTTTGATAGTAGTTTTTGATTTAGGAATTGTTTCCCTCATTTATTTTCTCAGTCCATCATCTCAACTAGTCTGGGGGGTCGGGGGTTGGTCGTATCACCATAGACGGGTATGAATCCCAGCTTGGCCATGTGCACTTTGTACACAAGTGGCTTAACCTCTCTGAGTCTCAGTCTCCTCACCTGTAAAATGGGTTAATACCATCTACCTCCCAGGGCTATTGTGGGAATGAAATTAAATAACATAGACAAGGCCCTAATACAACGCCAGCCACATGGCTGGTACTCAACAAATGTTACCTACTGCTAGTAGCATCCTCATTTTCCATATTCTCGGGTCTTGGAAATTGAGGGCTCTTCTCGGTAAAGAGGGAGATGCCCAGTGGTCTAGAGGTAGGGGATGGATAGACCAACCACCAATGAACCCATCTGGTCTAAGGACAGGCCTCAGAGGGAGAGGATGAAGTTGGCCCAGGACACAGTGGGCAGGAAGCCAAGTGGGTGGGGTCGCATGGTGGCCTGGGGGGGTGAGGAGGGGCATCCTGGCTGGCCACACTCACTGGCGCTCCATCTCCTGCTGCTCCTGGAGGATCTTGTTGGACTCCATCGCCAGCCGCTTCTGCATCAGAAGCTCCTGCCGTTGCAGTTCACGCTGTCGCACCTCTGCCAGCCGCTCCCGGTCTGTCATGAACAGCTCCCGGCCCTCGTGGGGGAGAAAAGAGGGCCTCTGCTCAGTCCGCTAGGGAACCCGGGCATCCACTGCCACAGCCCTGGCGGCCGAGATGTGGGCTGTCTTATTGCTGCGGCCCCCAGTGTCAGGCACTGTGGTTCCTGCTGTCTCTGACCAAACTTCTCCTGGCTGGGTAGAGATCCTCTCCCTCTGCTCTGTCAGAGCTTCAGGAAAGGAGACCCCTGGCCCTTCCCAAGGGGCCAAGGAGTATGCGGCAGAGATCAGGGCTCTGAGCAGCTGGGGCTGGAGGTCAGGGGTCATGGGGCCCCCACCAGCTCATTCTGGACTTACAGCTCCAGCTACGATGGAGATGGTGAGGCTGCGGCTGCTCTTCAGGATGTTCACGGCCTGTGGGGACAGGTGGACAGCTGGCTGAGGCCTGACAGACCAGCGCAGTCAAGGCCCCTAGAGAGCACAGAAGGTCTCAGACACCATGGCAGATGGAGGGGCGTGAGAAATGGAGGGCAGAGATGATCATGGCCGGCAGATGCAGGCCCCTCATCTCACCTCCTTGTGGTCCAGGCTGGAGAAGTCGATGCCATTGACTTCGACAATCTGATCCCCTATCTGGAGGAGAAATGGAGACAAATCAGCGTGTTTGCACTATTTGTACACTCACTCATCTACAGGAAGGGCTTCCCCTGGAGTCCAGGGTCAGACGTTGGGTCTTCAAGTGGCTGGACCTCAACTCTTCCCAAGGAGCAGAGTGGTTGGAAAGCTCTGATGGGGCCCTGGGAGGACCCCAAATGCCCCTCCACCCCATATCTCTTTCATCAGCTGTTAGTATTACACCATTAGAAGTTCATTTCTTTGGCTGAATTTATGACATTTGCTTTAAAAATTCAGTTTGTAGACATAGGAGCCTTTGGGCTTTTCATATAGCAGAGGCTATGTTGAGTCATAATAATAATTGATAAAATAGCTAGATTCATTGATCCCTTACTATGTGCCAGGCACAGTTCTAAGCCTATGTATTAATTCATTTAATCCACACATGACCCTAGAAGGAAGGCTATTATCCCCATTTTACAGGAGAGGAAACTGAAGCACAGAAATAGGAAGTAACTTGTCTAAAGTAGAGGTTAAGAGTTCCGGCTCTGGCACCAGATCATCTAGGTTTGAATCCCAGCCTTACCATACTGGGTGCATGGTCTTGGAAAAATCACATATTTTCTCTGGGTCTCAGTTTTCTCATCTGTATAATGAGGATAATGATAGGAGCTAATTCTCAGAGTTCTTGTAAATTTTAAAGGGCTGAGAACAATGTCCCATCCAGTAAACACTCCATGAATGTCAACTCTTTGACTATTGTTATTACATTCCCAAGCTCAGGACTAAAGGCTGTCAGAGCTGAGGACTGTAGAAAGGGTCAAATGTTACTCCCTCTGTGCAGCCTTCCCTTGGGGGGTGAGTGGGAAGCATTAGCCACTGAGAGCAGACTGTGTGGGAGGTGCCTCCATCACGTGCGATCGCACGCTGACCCTGAACCCCATTGGGGCCCCAGTGGGGCTGGCCCCGGGTCACTCACCTCCAACCCCACCTCAGCAGACAGGGAGCCGGGCTTCACCTGGCTGATGAAGATGCCAGGTTTCTGGACAGGGCCGCTGGAAATGCTGTGGGAGAGATGGGAAATGCAGGTGAGGCTGCGCTCACCCCCTGCAGTGCTTGCTCACTCTCAGTGTCCTGCACCCTTTGCCTGTGTGTGCGGAGCTCTGGCCACTCAGCATACAAGTGACCTGTGAGCTAAGTACCCAAGGCCCGCCCTCTGCTGTCTATCTGTCCAGCCTCATTGCCCTGTGGCATTAGCCACAGAAAACTACTTGTAATCTCTCCCACCTGATTCCTCACCCAATATATCACATATGCTGTTTCTTCTCTCTTTCCAGTGCTTTCCTATTCATTCCTTAAGATTCAAATGCTATCTCCTCTACAAGATTTTAACCAAACTCCTTATTCTAGTTGCTCCCTTCTTGGGGCTCCTAAAACACCTAGAGCAAGGATGGCACTTGTACTGTTATTCTCCCCTTCCAAATCTGTTGCAGACATCACTAATCGATCACAGCACTCTTTCCCACCAAGTCTAGATAAAACTTTAGAGTTCTTTTCAAACTCTTTAGCGTTCTTTTCCTACTCCAGGCAGCCATGACTAATTGAATAGAGACAGCACAGGATAGGAAACCTATTTGCCATCCCTGACTCAGAATGTAGCTCCATTAGCATCCTTGTCACTCTATACTGTAACTATTTATGTGGTTGGCTTCTATATTGGGCTGTAATCTAGAAAAGAGGGACTTTTTATCACTTACACTTGGCTGAAAAGTGTTGAATAAATGTGGATGAATGGAAATAATAAGAATAACTTAAATAATCATAGCTAATATTTACCAGCTGCTTACTACCTGCTAGGCACTAAGCTTGGTACTTTACTTCTGTCATCTCCTTCCTCCTCACGATAAACCTGTGATGTGGGTATTATCACTCTCAAATTACAGAGGGAGAAACTGAGGCTCAGAGTGGTTAAGTAACCAGTTCAAGGTTCTAGAGCTCACAGGTGGCAGAGCAGTAGCTGGAGCCTAGATCTATGACTGTAGTACCTACGTACTTAACAAGAAGGCCCCTATGGACTGATGCCTGTTTGCAATTCCCTGGCTGCCTCTTAAAGAAGTCCCACAAGGTGATAAGTGACAAGAGAACTGTGACAGAGATGACCAGCTGGAAAGGCTCCTTTTGCAGTGATTCAAGGCCCCACCAAAGGAACACGACTCTGTCTTTGGGCCTAAGTTTCCTCACCTGTAGCATGGGCCTGTTAGAGCTGTCCCTCTGGCCCTACTTGGCTGTTGTGAAGCTCAGAGGGAAAGCAGGCACCAAGAAGTGTCATCACTAGTGGACAAAAGTCTCCTCGGAAGCAGCAGTGAGAAAGAGGAGAGGTGCTAGGGGCCCGCTGGGGTCCACTGGCCATGAGTGAGCCCAGGGCACGCCTGCCACCCACCTGCAGCCAAGGCCCCGCGAGCCCACCAGGCTGATGAAGACCTTCTTCTCCTTGTTGTCCCGACTGCCGGGGGAGCCCAGGCTGCTCCACCCGCCCTGGAGGAGGGACAGGATAAGGGTCACTGGGTGTCCACATGTGTGCAAGTGGCCTCTTGAGCTCATAAGGCCTTCAGGACGAGCACTGCTGTCCCCATGTGAGCCTGACTGTCGTTCTGTCCCTGGCGGTGTGTCTGCACCAGCTGCACCCACCTGAGGGCCCACTGCCCACAGGGGCATTCTGGATGTGCTGGGGGCCTGTGTGCAGCCCTGAGGGCACATCCTAGAGCAAGCCCTCCCTTCAGGAGCAGCTGCCCCTTCTTGGAGACCACCCCATCCAGACCCCATCGCAGGTGGTGCCAACCCTTACCCCAGATTCCGACACAAACTGATCCACATACTGCCACTTGAGAGGCTCGTCGGGAGAGCTGATGGGAGGGGAAAGTACAAGGGAGGTCATTAGGGAGAGGTGTTTGAGGGACCAGGCCCCAAATCCAGATCTGCCACCTCTGGAGTATCTAGCGACTGCTGGCCCTGGGGCAGTGCTGGCCTGGGGGAAGTCAGACCTCAGTGCTGAGCCCGCAGGGAAGAGTCTGTCTACAGAGGAGGGTCCTGCTCACCTCTTCACGGGGATCAGGCCGATGTCTGTGGGAGAAAGGCACAGGGGTTAGGACGTCTCCTCTGCCCTCCTTCCTCCCGCAGGAGCTGGGTGCCCCGCTGCCCTCCCCACCCCACCGTCGGCACCTCCTGCTCTTCAGCCTCACTCACGTCTCACTTTGATGGACACAGTCTTCTTGGTGCGGATGAGGTTGATGACCTCCTCGTGGGTGCAGGAGGAGATGGAATACCCGTTGATCCGGACGATCTCGTCCCCGACCTTGGCCACAGACAGAGGGAATGAGCACCAGGCTGAGGGAGCATCAGGCAGCTGGGCAGGCTCATCACCAGATGCTCTGGGCCTGCTCTCCAGGAAAGGGGATGATAGCCATGCCCTCCCTCAGGAGAAACCTTGATATGTGTCCTAGTGCCTGTCACAACCAACCCACCTCCATCAGCCTGATGGACCCCAGGGCAGGTGGCACTGCCAAGCAGTCTTTCTGCCCCATTTTACAGATGAGGGAACTGAGGCGGGGGGTGAGGGGCACAGAGAGTGGGTAGCAGAGCTGGGAGTAGAACTCAGGACTCAGCACCCTCACTCCGGTGTCCCTTTCACCCCATTGGGGCACCATCAGGTTCTGGAATCCATGCAAAGGGCAACCCTTCACCCAGATTCCCACAGCTCTTCCCTGGCCTTTGTCCCACCCCACCCAAGGAGCAGACTCTCCTGTCTGTTAATCACCGCAACGCCGTAGCCGAGTCGGGGCGGGGAACGTCCACGGCTCCTGACTGGAGCTCACGTCATCGACACACACACCTCCCCTTTTTTCCCCTCTGTGGACACTCAGTGGACATTTTCACTCTGCCATGGCCCTGATCTCTGAGCTCCCATTCTGGGAGTAAGCAAAGAACAGCGAATGAACACAAGGCTTTGGCATCAGATGTCCTGGGTTCAAACCCCTGCTTTTATTCTTACTAGCTGCGTGACCTTGGGCAAGTCTCTTGAACTTTTTGACCCTCAGTTCCCCTGATCTGTAAAATGGGGGAATACTGTGGTTGCTGTGAGAATTAAGTGAGCGTGTACGTGTGAAGCCAGCCAGTGCCTGGCACAGCGTAAAGAACCAATAAGTGGTTGCTATTGTTATCGTTAGGCCTGAGCCCTAAATATTCTGCTCAGATCCCTCTTCTCAGACTTAGGCCTCATTAGACTGGGAGAGATGGGGGCCCCGGGGCCTGCAGGGCCAGCCCTGGGGACAGATCGTGGTGAGCTTGCCCCCGCTGGACACTGCTGTGGGCTCCTCCTAACACCTTGGCACTGGGGGTCAGTCCTGAAGTTCCTCATTTAGTAACTGAAGGGCCGGAAGGACCCTCAGACATCAGGTGAAACTGAGGCCCAGGGAGGTGATGCTTTCTCCAAGGTCACATAGCCATTAGCTGCAAACCAGGGACTGGATCCTGGATGCCTGTCTCCACCCTGAGGCCAGCGCGGGTCAGCTGCAGGCTTAACCCACACTGCACGTGCTGACCCTCTGGAGACCTGTTGGTATGTGTGGGGGACGCAGCTGCGCTCCCTGTGGGGTCTGGGGGCTGGGCGGGCACACAGCCTCTGAAGGGTCCTCTAGGCCAACTCCTACCTCTGCAACGCCCTCACAGAGTCACCTTCTTGCTACTGCTACCTGAACACTTCCCTTCCACGCCTGGACACAGACCCCAGTCTTCTCAAGGGCCTGACAGGAGTGGCAAGGGGCTCAAAAAGGTGCCACAGTGAGGGGCTCGCTAAAGAACTTTCTGGGTACATCTCATGTAAGGAGAACAGCTGGAGTAGCTCCTTGCACCCACTTTTTACAACAACTCTGTGTTTCTGTGAATCATATGAGGAAACTGAGGGTCAGAGAGGTAACCCTTGCTCAGGGTCACCCAGCTAGTCCACAGTGTTCCTGGGATTCAGAGTTAGATAACAAGCGTTGTCTCTTGGGCATCTGGCCAAGCCTGGCTGCAGCTCCCTGCGTCCTGCCCTCTCTGGATCCTTGCCACCTGTCAGAGCTCTCAAGTCCCATAGGAAAGGCACGGATTACTCTGTCCATTTTACAGCTGGGACAACCAAGGCACACAGAATCATTCTCTAGCTCCAGACTATATAGCAAGGCCACCCTGTGCAGGGCAGAGGAAGTAGACGCAGACACGATACACTTGAAAAAACATCAAAATATCTCCAGTAGGGGGACAAGAGCAGAGAGCTAGAGTCCCAGGGCTGGGTCCTATTGGTGGGTCCAAGCTCCCCACCCGGGGCCCAGCCTCACAGGTCATATCAGCAGGGTCGTCAGTCCAGCCAGGCTGTGAGTGAACATGCCCCTCCCCTGCCTTCCAGAATCTTCTCCCAGCCACCCTCAGCATGAGAGCTCCCCAGAAACATGACCCCAGACAGGTGAATAGATGCAGACATTTTCCCCGAGCTCCTCTGAGTGAAGTTCCCTGTCCTGTTCCTACAGGGCACCTGCCCGGGACCCAGTCAGAATGATTCCCACACAGCCCCCGGCTCAGGTGGCGGGATCAGCTTTCCTCTCCCTCTCGCTCCCAGGTGGGGCCCTGCAAAAGGCCCTTTGTGCAAGACCCACAGTGAAACGACGATCTGAGGGACAGTGGCACAAAGGAGAGATGAGCCTGTCAGCCTGAGAAAGGGTGGATACTTCATAAGCCTGAGAAACAGGCGGGAAGGGAAAATTCTAAGTTTCATTAAAACGCCCTGAGGCCCCCAGCCACGGAGGCATGGTTGAGAAAGGTCTGTCCTCAGAGGAGAGCTCACCCTGGAAAAAGAGGGCCTCAGCTGACGCCCGGAGAGGAACTCATTATGTTTTTTCTCTGGCTGCGTTTCTGGGCTGGAAAATGTGCCGCACAGGAGAGGAATAATGAGGGGGGCTGAAATTTCAGACGCCACCGGCGAGCCGTGAGACAGGGATTTAGAACAAAGCGATGTCTGTCAGCTCCCAGTTTCCACCTCCCACTCCACGGTGTCTTGTACCATTAGCCCTCGAGCCCCCTGAAGCCCCTGGCTTGGCAGCCAGATTGGGATGTTGATAAGGAACGTGCTGGAAGCTCTGGGAGGGGGTGGGAAGGGTGGGAGGGATGGGAGGCCCTCTTTTATCTGGACATACAAAAACACAGCCCTGGGCTCTGGCAGGAGTGAGACCTGGCAGTCTGCCCATCTCTGCTCAGACAGTGAGGTGTGGGGACCCCAAGGGAGAGGCATCTAGGGTACTGAAGAGAGATCCCGGGGCTTGGCAGTCAGGAGCCCTGGGTTCAAATCGTGGCTCTGCCACTGACTGGCTGTGACACTAGTCACATCTCTGAGCCTCTAGCATCTCTGTAAAATGGGGGTGATACAGCCAAGGCATATAATGAGAGCTGGTTGTGAGCATGTTACCTGGCACGTTACAGGTGTTTACTGAATCTGCCTCTCTGCTTACTTAACAAACACACAGCACCGATGTGCCAGGCACTGTCACAAGTACAATATGAATTCATTATTTCTCATAACAACCTGACAAGGTAGGCCGTATTATCCTCATCCTCATCTCACAGATGAGAAACTGAGGCATGAGGTTAAGTCATTTCACCAAAGTCACACAGCTAATGAACAGCGCAGCCAGGACAGCCGGCTCCAGAGTCTGCTCTGCAGCACCGCACGACACTGGGATTTCCTTCTCCCTTCCAGTAGAAGGCCAGGTGTCCCAAGCTTCAGGGGCCAGGACATTACCATTCTCCTCCTTCGGGAAGTGGGGGGGTGGGGTGAGGGCAGCAGTAGCAGCCGCTGGAGCCAGGTTCCCAGCTCGACTCAAGAACACAGGTAATTGCCTGCAGCCTGACTTCTATGGGCCTGAGGAACATCTGTCAGGATGCGTCAGCCTCTTCCTCTCAAAGGCTCAGAAAGGTGAGGTGACCATGTTATGCCACACAGCCTAGCGAGCGAGGGAGGCCCTGGCCCCCCACCCCCCCAGACTCCGCTTGCTCACCTGGAGCCCGACGCTGTCTGCCTGACCCCCTTTGATGAGGTGGGAGATGAAGAGCCCACAGCCGAACTCAAGGCCGCCACGCACGCTGAGGCCGAGGCCTTCCGGGTGCAGACGGTCCAGGCGCACCTCCTTCAGCTTCCTGTCACAGGAGAGGCTGGTGACGGCCCAGCCCTGCCCTGACTGCCAGTGCTGCTCCACGCACTAGTGAGTGACCCTGTCCACCCCAGGGTGACCTCTCCCTCCCCCTGCTTCTAGCCTGGAGGCTCCCTCACACCTGGAGCGCCGGGGTGTCAGTTGGTCGTATTCCACCTGGTGCTTCAGTGGGATCAGAGGCCTGATGGCATCAAACAGGGGCAGGCGGCTGGGCTCATTGATGACCAGCTTCAGGTCTCCCACAAGCACGACCACGTCCATGGTCCTGCGGAGACATGGGGACACCTGGAGCCTCAGGCATGACCATGACCTCTGAGACCCAAGGATTCTCAGAGGAAGCCTTGGAATTGAGAAATCTCCTGAAAAGCCCAGGTGCCTGGGAAGACTTAGTTCTCTCATGTAGGTATCACAGGGAAACTGGTGAGGTAGGGATTGTTAACCCATTTTGCAGATGAAACTACACCAGGATTCAAACTCAGCTCTGGCTAGTTCTGAAGCCCAGGATCTTTCCAGACAGGAAACTTCTGTGTGAAGCAGTAGTGACCCCTTTCATACCCTCATCTCCCACCTCTGATTGGCAGTAAATTCTCTGTAAATTCTCCCCTCACGATGTGTCTCACAGCCCTCCTCCCCACCCCGTTCAGACCCTCAGCGTCTCTGGCCTGCACTGCTCCAGCTGCCTGCCGACTTGCTCACTCTCATCTTTTCTAAATGTAAGTCATTCCCTTTTCAAAACCCTTTGATGGCTCCCTACGGCCAGAGGACACGAACCATTCTCCTTGGCAGGCTCAGGGCCTCCATGACCTGTCTCCATGGAACTGCTCTGGGCTCATGGCTGTATATGGTCTCGGTGTGCCCTGAGTTCTGTTCCCCAGATTACTTATCACTTCCCACTCACACCCGCACCTTTGCCAATGTTGATCCCTCAGCCTGGAATGTCCTTCTCTAATACTTCCACATATCAAAATCCTTATCCTTCAAAACCTAGCTCCAGCCTTGTTGGTCCTTCCCCCCACAGTTAGAAGTGACAACTCCTTTCTTCACATCCTGCTCTTCCTTCTCCTTAGCAGTTATTTTATTGTAACTTACATCATAATACGTGTTTGTAGTGTCTGTCCGTCTTCCCCCACTAGACCCTGAGTTACCGAGGACGAAAGCAGATCTTATTAATTTCCAGACTTTGCATGGTGTCCAGCAAGTGGCAGGAGCTTATAAACATACACTGAATGAATCAAAAAGCAGGCGGGTGACAGGAGACATCTGATGCTGGTGCTGGGGCCAGCTGGCATTTCCTGTCCTATCGCAGCAATCACACTGTTGAACCCATCTGGATCCTTGACAACCTCCCCCACTAGACTGTGAGCAACCTAAGGGCAGCAACCAGCCTGTCTTGTTCACACGTGTGCCCTTAGGACAGAGCCATGCATAGAGTGTTTGTGTAAATATTTGCTGAGACAACTGAATGGCGTGTCCATTTGATTTCTAGGAGCATTGAGCATCTGCTCTGAGATCCCCAGGATGGGAGAAGGGGTCCTCCTGTCTCAGAACAACCCATCCCAGGGCTCCCTGAAGACAGAGGTACCCAGGGTGGTCCACAGGAGCTGGAGCCAACACACTTACTGGTGGTACATCCGTAGCACGTCATAGAGATAGTCCTTCTCTGCATCATTTTCAATCAGAAAATCAACCTGGAAAACCCAAGGGCAGAATTACAGTTCCAGGCCAGCACCCCCACAGCAGACCCCAGGGACACAGAGGCTCCCGCTGGGGACCTCCTTAGCCTCTCCTCAGGGCTGGGGTTGTGGGGAGAGGAGGGAAGCCAGGCTAGGCTGGTCCTCTGACCCCAATACATCAGACCCCTGCAGACCACCCCAGCATAGCCACAGGAGTGCCTCTGCACATCCAGACGTGGCAGGCTGAGCCTCGTCCCCAGGTGGGGTGACATGTGTGCACACAGGGACACACACATGCACACATGTGAACCCCCACATGACAGCGATGTACCCCGATGGCAGCAGTGCTGCCGCTCACCCCCTGGCTATGTCACTCGTGTCCAGGGTGGCAAGGCCAGTGCTGGCTCCCCGGTCTGGAAGAAGTCCACTGTCATACCTGATGGTGGCTGTAGTGCCGGAGAACTGCTTTCAGGAAGGATTTGGGCCACTTGCTCAGATAGCACATCCCACCCACGGAAGCACCCTACCACCCAGGTCTTCTGTGTCACCAATGCCAGGGGCAACTCTGCCCTGTCCTGTCCTGGCCTAAGCTGGTTGACTTATGGCCACTCCTTCCCCTCTCCAGGTCCCTGCATGTGTCCCCCCCGACCCCCACCCCCGACAGGGGGAGAGTCAGGTTGCATTATTTCAACTTTGCTGACGTCAATGGCCAGGACTCCAAGGTCGGGGTCAGGAACTGTTTCATTAGCACCCCAATCCCAGGGGAGCTGGTGGGCCAGGAGCCCCAGATTCCACTGCCTGGGAAGGCTCAGTGTGAATCTCTATGCACTTTATCCTTGGCTCTCTCTTCAGCCCAAGACTGAGCAAGAGGGCAAGGTGGAGGCTCGAGGGATCACTGGGTCCCTCCCTCCTCCAGCCTTCAGGCCCAACAGCATGGTCCAGGGCCTCGGGTCCTCACAGCGAGAGGCTGCTGCTGGAAGCTGCAAGCTCCCACCTGACTGGTCCTCAGAGGAGGGCCGGAGCAGCCCTGCCTCTTTCTGTGGGTATCTCAGGGTGCTGGGAGGCTGGGGGCAGTCTGTCTTCCCAACACAGAGGAGACATGCTGGGATTTCTGGCCTGAACAGGGGATACAGAAGGCAGATTTCTGCTCTCCACCTGGCAGTACCCCCCTTCCCTCTAAAATCAGGCTGAGCATCTCACTGAAGATGAGAATAACCGAGAAGGCCTGCCCCCTACTGACTCACAGCTGGGCTTCAGCGGCTGCAGAAGTTCACCCCACCTGCTCCAAGAAGGGCACTCTTGCTTTCTCCTATGTCACTGCCCCTCTCTTCCAGGAAGGGGCTCCCAACCAGCTAGAAGATGGGGGACAGAAGCACCTGCTTGAGTGGGTGGTACCAAAATCTTAGGGTGGCAGCGCAGGATCCTGCATACAGCACATATGTGGGCACCTCTGAAAGCTCATCTCCATGAACAGCACTCCGTCTGGGCCTATAGGAGAAGCGGGGGACCTCCCTAAGACAGGCCTGGGCTGCCCACATTTGGCTATGGTGGAGGAGTCTGAGCAGAGAAAATTCTGAACTCCTCTAGGATCAGGGGCCAGAAATACCTTTATAAATTGGATCATGTCACTTGCTTGCTAATAGCTTCTCATTGTACTTAAAACAAAACCCAAATCCAAATTCCTCACTTTGACTTATCAAAGCCCAACATCACCTACTGCCACTCTTCCTGGCTACACGGGCTCCCTAACAGTGCCTCCACAGACCACACTCGCTCCAGCCTCAGGGCCTTGGCATATGCTGTTCCCTCTGCCTGGATTGCCTCCCCACTTCCTTGCATGGCTGGCCTCCTTCCCAGAGAGGTCTTCCCTGCTCACCTACCCAAACAGAACCCATTCCCATCCCCCCAGAGATGTTCCAACTCCTTGATTACTACATCACAATTTGTAATTAAAGGCTTGCTTTTTTGTGAATTATTTTGTCTCCTTCATTGGACAGAAAACCCCAAAAGGGGAAGGATGAAGTCTGTTTTGTTCTAAATACCTTGTGCCTAACACATCATAAGTGGTCAATAAGTAAGTACGGAGTGAATTTGTCCATCCTCCTGGCTCCTGGTGTGCCCACACAAATGAGCTGGGAGGAGGAAATCCTAGAACAGCAGGGGAAGGGAAATACACATCTGCAGAGTCCCTGTGAATGCCCCTGGGATGGCCTCATGAGCTGCTCATGGGCTTTCTTCCACTGATCTCAAAAGCCTTTGGAGGCCGATACTCTCACACTGTTTTGCAGATGAGGAAACTGAAGATCAGAGAGGTTAAGTCAACTCACCCAAGATCCTACAGCAAATAAGAACAGAGCTCAGATTTGAACCTCGGTCTATCTGATTCCAAAGGCCACGCTCCTGCTGATGCACCACTTAGCGTGTGACCCAAGCCTTTCAGGGAAACGCTCCAGGGCCTCCTTAGGCCGAAATTTCAAACTCTTTGCTCTCAAGACGATCTTCCTTATCTCGAATCCCCATCTCTCTCCTCTGCACTGTTAAGAAAACCCTTTTGGCTTGGTCCATAATGAGCATGTCTGTATCGAATGACTCTTTGATGTTCTGCTCTCCAAGGGGAGCATGCAATCCCATCGGCTTTGGTTGGAGTGAGGACACCCTAACCAAAGGACCTCTAGCCTAATTCCAGCCGTGGCTGGTGACACGAGGAAAAGGATGGGAGAGGGAATCTCTCATTGGCCAAGGCCTTAGGACTGAAGCTCTCTCCCACCCCTCTCGCTGCATCATTCGGTGTAAAAAGTGATGGAGTGTCCTCGGTAGACAGTGTTTACCATGGGCTGGGTGTGGGAGTAGAAAACTAAGCCAATTTCAAATGGTAGAGCCTAGGATTCCATTTTTCCACCTTCCTGGGCCAAGCACAGACCACCTGGAAATGGTCTTTGTGGAAAAGAGCCCATTTCTGGGGTCCCCGGCTCCCGGTCGTTGTAGGCAGCCCTCCAATGCTGACCACTGAATCCAGACATCCCTACCCAGAAATCACATCCTCCCGGTCTCCTTCTGAGGCAGCAGCACAGTTCAGCTCTTTAGCGTGAAGTCCACCCACTCGCACCAGTTAGGTTCCTCAAATCCTGGTCTCCAGTTCTGCCCTTACCCGCTTCTCCAGGGTCATCTCCACCATTTCCTAAGCGGACTCAGGCTACAGCTGAGCAGACCTTCCCCCTCACACACGGGAACCTCCCCATCCTCACTCCAAATGTCCCATCTTCCTCATAACTCCAACTGGCCCATTTAAAAAATTATCCATATACCATAACAGCCGGGAAAACACCTGGTTTATGTGGAATGCCCTTTAAAAACGAATCTAAGTGATAAACCAAAATGGAGGTCACATCTCGACCCTGAACATTCCCCCCTGGAAATGTCTCCAAAGAGACTCAGCGATGACAGCACTGCTTTGTTCTTTGACCACACCCGAGTGGAAACACACTCACATCTTACTCTCTGGGTTTCAAAAGGCGCCAAGAAAGACAACTGAGAAAGACCGAAGTGTCTCTGGAAGCCTGAATGTGCAGTAACATCACCAGGGTAATTCAAATTTCACTTTTTAAATAGTTAAAAAACTTACACTCCCTCCTCCTGGAATCTGAGTTCAAGCAAACTCCTCAGGAAGGTCTGCCTGGCACCAGGCCAAGGATCAGCTTTGGGAGCCCCCGGTCTAGGGCACTCTGTACCATTCTCCCAGTGCCTTGCGCTCAGGTACCTGTAAAGCACGTGCGTACAGCGGGTCTCCGACAGCACCGCGCCGGGCACACGGGCACACAGTGCTCAGCGGTGTCTGCTGAATGATGCGTGAACTCCAGTTGCTCTAGTCTAGAGCCTTCCTTCCACCCTCTTGGCCCGGTCCTGGGTCACCACCTCCCCACGGCTCCTCAGCACACACCTGCTGCAGCCTCCTGGATCTGCCTCCTCTTAGCTCACTTCCAGCTCATCAGAGAAGAGTGGGTCCCAGATGCATGCACGATAGACTGCCCTTCCTTCTACCTCCTGATCCCTGCCGTCATTTAAGGGGAGCCCAAGCCCCCTCTTCTAGAGTCCTTTCCGACCATGCCCAGCCCAGAGTCTCCTCATCCGCCTCCCGGGCTGAGGCCCTTCTTGCCTGGCTCCTGTATTCGCGCCAGACTCTGCTTACTGACCGTCTACCGTCAGAGGAACTTTACACATATTATCTTTCACCTCCCAACGACCCTCTGAGGTGGATGGGCATTATCATCCCCATTTGACGGATGAGGAAATAGAGGCTCAGAGAAGTGGCAGAGCTGAGACTCCAACCTACACCTGCTGGCTCCAAAACCCCTGCTTTTTTTCAAACTACCACATGGTATCCACTTACCAGACAGAACTTTCTGTATGCATTTGTCTAATACACATTTATTGAGCACCTCCTGTGTGCAAGACACCAACTTCTTTCTCCAACTAGATTTAGAAAGCTTTTCCTTGTCTTGGATCCCTCTTAATATGGGCTCAGACACCTAAAGAAGCCCACCATCTACAAATAACTGTTGGGGGGAGTCTCTTTATCACATCACTCCCCCCATCCCGGCCCACTTTGTGTCTGGTCCCCTCCACCCAGCATCGGTGTTCTCTGGCTGATGCTCAGCTGGCTCTGTGCTATCGGCCTATATGGGGGTGGGGTATGGTTCAGGCCCCTTGTCTGGGGCACTGGAGGCAAATTCTGGGTTTGGCCTCGGGCCCTCTCCAGCCTCGTCTCCCAGCATTCTTCCATATGGAATGGCCCTTCGGGACAGCTTCACAGGGGAAGCACACAACATTCAGCTCACGCAAATTCAACTCCATGTGTGCACCCAGCCAAAGAGGGAGAAAGAGAGCAAGAATAATTAAATAATGCATGTTGTTCCACTCTCCTCGGCTGTTGTGGGGATTAAATGAGTAAATACATGTAAAGTACTTAGGACAGTGATCAGGGCTCCAAAACTTGTGCTGGGTCTCTTCCTTTGTGCCTTCAGACGCCCTCCCCAGCCTTCTGCAGCCTGCCCTGTATCCCAGGAAGCTTGGCCCGGGCTCCCTGGCCTCTGCTCCCTGCTGTGTTCACCCAGGCGTGGTGATAGGGCCTGAGGAGAAAGGGGATGGGGTTCTGATTCCTTGCTCCCTCCTGCTGGAGCCCCGTGTGGCAGGTCTGGGCCTCCCTTTGAGCTGTTGCTCTCGGCTGTCCTGCGGACCCTCTCTTCCCTTGCCCCTTCAGGAGCACCTGGCTTCCTGCTGCTTGCTCCCAGGCTGTCACCACGCCTTGTCAGCCCCGTGTCCCTGCCCTTCATAAAACTCTCTTTGTTTCCCATCTGGATGAGCCACCTGCCTCCTGCTGGGACCCTGGCTGGTGGGAAATGTTAGCTGTTAGTGGTGGTGCCGGCAGCAGTTCCTCCCTGTGGGCTCTTCCTCCACCTTTAAGATGCCTCAGACATCAGCTGTCCTTGGTCAAGCCTTTCCTTGGGCTCCCCAACAAAGCCTGTCCCGTCATTCTTTGTGCACGGGACACCATTTTGTCCCACTCCTGCCCGGGACTCGCCGAGCCGTGTGTCCTCTTTCTTTACTCCCCTGTCTCCTCACTAATCTGTGTGTGGCCCAGACACAGGCCGGGGTATGTGTGGAGGGCAAGGCCAACAAGCCCCTTCCCCATCTGGATCTGCACCTGTCAGTGCCTCAGTTTCCTCATCTGTAAAATAGGGACAAAAATACCTATTTCATGGGATTTCATCCTTCCATGAGAGATTAATAATTGTTTTTTATTATTCATGAGTTAATAACTGTTCAATGCTTAGAACACTGCCTGGAAAATAGTAAGTTCTAAGTGTTTGTTAAATAAAACTAAGTAAGGGTAAATGAAAACAAATGCTATAGTCCCAGCAGCTGGCAGCGAGTGGGTCCTCCACACAAGCTGTGGGAGGAACAGATCCCGCCACGTTTCCTCCCAGGCCTGCACAGCTTGCGTCCCGGACAGGACTGGGTTTATCTGGCTCTTGTTTATTATTCTTCATCTTTTCAAGAGGAGTCGTGTCTTGCCAACTAGTTGGGAGCATTTGACCTAGCGCTTGGCACAGCCCATCATGCCCTCCTTTTCCTGCTCACCTGCTGTTCCTTCCCCTCCAAAGGTCAGGGTGCCCGGGCTCTGTCCTGGGTCTTCTCTCCACCTGCACTGTCTCCCAAGTGACCTCATCAGTCTCGAGGTATGAACTACCATTTATTCCCCAAGGACTCACTGAGGCTGATGCCCAGCACAGACCTCCCCCAGTCTGCAGCTTCCGGCCTTCTCAGTCACCTCTCTACTTAAAGGCCCAAAGGGCATCTCAAATTTAAAACAACCAAAATGGGACTCTTGGTTTCCACCACCTCCTGCTCTGTCCCCACCAAGCTGCTCCTCCTCCCAAAATGAAGACTCACCCTTGATGCCTCTCTCCCTACATCCACAGCCAACCCACTGGCAAAGCCCGCCAGGTCTCCCTTTAACATGCGTCCTGGGTTGGACCACTCTTCACCCTAGTCCAAGCCCCCACCTCTGGCTGGGGCTGCATTATATGATACTTTCATTGGTTCACTTGTTAACCATCTGTCTTCCCCACTAGAATGTGCTCTCTCTAAAGGGAAGGGACTTTGTTTTGTTACTCAGTGGTTAGAGTACTGTCTGGCATATATTAGGAGCTCAGTCAATATTTATTGCATGCATACATGCATGAATGAATGGTCAGCAAATCCCTAGAAGGCAGGGGCTCTTTCTGACCCTCTTATTTATCCGCCCCCCAGGTGCCTGTCCTTGGGCAAGACACACTACAGATACCCATAAATGCATGATTGCTGAACAGGCAATAAAGACTCTGAGCAAATAAGTAACCAAGTTCCTGCATCATGCAGGTGCAGTGAGCTTTAGAAAAGCTAGTTCTCTGGGGAAGATGCCCCCTCCCCTCGCCTTGGCACCCTGACCCAAGGCTGTGACCCAGAAGGGCATGCAAGTGCTGCTGATGTCCTTGGGGAAACCATACAAGCCCAGAGGAATAGGCCTGGAGCCTGTTGGCTCATCCAACAGGATGCTCTGCAGGCACTGGCTGGGAACAGTGCGGCCACTGACCAAATGGTTACTCTAGGCCCAGAGCCGCCAGTACCTGAATTCCTATTTAATCCTAAGTGTCCTGTAAGCTAAGCACTACAAACCTCATCTCCCAGCTAGGAAACTAGAGCTCAGAGAGATTAAGTGGCTTGCCCAAGGTCTCACTGGCAGTGAGTGACAGGGCTGAGGTTTGACCCCAGTTCTGCCTAACTTCAGATAACAGACACAACAGTGGACATCCGATGAGGACTCACTAAGTGCCAGGGTCTATTTAAGCTCCATACACACATGTAGATCTCAACCAACACTCACAATAACTTTACTAGGTAAATATTATTGTTATCCTCATGTAACAAATTAGAGAACTGAGGCACAGAGAGGTCAATAACTTGCTCAAGGTCACACAGCACTTTCCACGACAATACACTACCTTTAATGCTACCTCCAACAACTAAAGGTTTAGATTATAAGCCATCCCCAAGGGGTAAATTTGCTCTGAAACACTAAGGAAGGGACATTTAGAAAGCAATCATCAGCAAGCTATAAATTTCACCCAGTATGTCTGAGTGTCCCTATCTCTATCCTCTGCTGCTTCATCCTCTCTCCCCAGTTCCTACCTGATCTCCAACCTGGGAGGGAAGGCTGCTGCTGTCTCCGAAGCAGCAGGGCACAAAGTCCAGCCCAGGCCTTGCCCAGCATGGCGCCTGCCCCGCCTGCACACACAGGGGCATTAATAGGTAATGACTCTTGTGATGAGGAAGAGCAGGGCAGTGGAAACACACAGGCCTGAGGCGCTTTGGAGCCTGCAGGGCCTGGCAGAGAGGAACAGGGGCTAATGTAGGGACCCAGTCAGACACTGGGGACCCCAGAGGAAATTCTCTCAAAAGAGGCAAAGTGTAGTTGCAGTACCCCATGAAGAGAAGGCAAAAGAGGACGTGACATTACTTTCAGCCCAGGGGCCGGAAGCTGAAATTCAAGCCTGAGTCTTGGGGTGGGGGACGGGAGGCTGTGCTCCTTCAAAGTGAGTTGCCTGAAATCTACAGTTACCAAATGTCCTCAGTGGCTGAAATTTCTCCCCTCACCGCCCTTTGCAACAGGATGCGCTGGTGAGCACTGTCCCACACTCTCCTTGCTATTCGCCAGCCCTCAAACTGCTGCTGAACTTCCAGCTCTCTCTCACCCCTGGGATGCCCAAGGCCTCATTTTTAGGAGACTTCTACCAGTATGAGCTGCCCCCTTTGTGCCCCCACCAGACCTTGATCCCAACACTCAGCACCCAGCCATGGGTAATTATTAGTGGAGGGTCTGCTTCCCACCCCCACAACCTGCAATTGGAGGGCAGAGGCTGGGTCTGGCACAGAATGGGTGCTCAAAACATGTTTATTAAGTGAATGATTGACCCCTGGCCCCTGGCCCTTAGACCCTGTGGCCCCAACACTGGCTAGCTCCTGGGGCTCCCCTGGGCCTCTCTGTGGGGAGACAGGGGGTAAGCACCCTGACCTTGCCTGCCTGAGCTCTGCCCCTCAGGCCTGGGAAGAGTTTTGGCTTGGTCTAAAGACACTGCCCCTCCAGGCTCCGGGACGGCCTCAGGGCACACAGTCGCCTGTCCCTCAGGCAGGGCCTGTGGGTAGCTCCAGACACCCCTGGCTTCACCCTTGGGCTCTGAGGCATCCTAAGGCCTGGTGGGGATGTCCGCTGGGTCTCCTCTCTGGCCTCAGGGCCTCAGTGGCTCTTGCACGCTCTGGAAACAGTTCAGGAAATGCCCTGGGTGAAATCCAGCAGCTTTCGGTGGTGGTCTCTGAGGATCCTGGACCACCAATGAGGCCCCTCAGTGGGCCACACTAGGGGAAATGTGGTTCTGCCTGAAGGGTCTGGCTGACTCTCTGTACCTCCTCCCTCCCTCCCACCGCCCCCGGCCAGCACCAGTTCCTCAGCTGCTTCTTGGCCCTAAGAAATGCCCTTGAGCAGCGAGGGGCTCCCTGAAGTGCTTCTAACTGGTGTTTTGAGGTCAAGGGACAGCCATCCAGTCCCCCTTGCTAGGAGTCCTCACCTCTCAGACACTGCCCGGGACCCTCTCCACATGCCCCATTTGAGCTGGTGGCACTAGGAGCTGTGGGAGTTGCCCACTATGGGGCATCTCAGAGAAACGTCCTGTCTTAGGCCAGGGCTGGAAGGAATTCCAACCCCAGAGAAGTCCCAGCCCCTGGAGCGCAGAAGGAGAAAGAACGCTTTCAGGAGCTCGGTTTAGCGGTTCCTACACCTGGAGTCCCAGCGCTCCTCCCTCATTTTACTGGGGATCCCTGCTGGAAACCTAACGACCCTGCGGGCGGCGGGAGGGGCGGAGGGGGAGGAGGGACGGTGTCCCAGAGCACCCAGAGCCCTTAGGCCCGGATGGAAAAGGGAGGCGTCCCGGGCACTTGGGGCGCAGCTCTGACCTTGTGCCGGAATTCTCGGGCCACCTTCCGGTCCATGGCTGGGCCAGATCGCGCCGCGTCGCTGCGCGGCTCGTTCCTTCGGGGCCCGGCTGCCCGGAGTCGGCAGGCGCCGCGACCGCGACCAGCCGGGCCTGGGAGCGGCGGGGGCGGTGCCCGGGAGCGGGGGGTGGTGCCTGGGCGGGCGGGGGCGGTGCCCGGGAGCGGGAGGCGGGGCCTGGGCGGGGCCCCCGGGAGGCCGGAGACGCCTGTCCAGAACCTTCTTGCCTCGCGCTGATGCCCCGGGAGCAAACGGGCTGGAGTGTGTGTACGTGGTGGCGGTGGTGGTGGTTGCACTCGAGGCTGGCTCACCTCTTCGAATGGCCCCCAAACACACGCGGCTGAGGGAGAGGATCTCGGGAGGCTTGGGGAGGACGTTTGGGACTTTTTTGTGGGGGCTGGAATACAGAGGTCCTGAGACTCACACATCGGTGGGTAGGTAAGGGGTGGGCTAATCTAGTCAGTTTTCTCTGGATACACAAATAGAAGCCCATTCGCCCTCCTGAGGCTGTCTGTCACCCCCGGCCATGCATCTCACCTTCAGCGTACATTCCAAAATGGCCTTTTCCATGGGCTTTTCCCACTAGGAAGAAACGTTTGACCTGTGAATTCCTTGGAGCTGGGTCTTCCTGTGGCCCACAGAGGCTTGAACCAGCGGGTAGGAGTGCCCTTCCTCAACAAACCTCCCCTCCCACCTCCCTCCAAACACCCCTCCCCCCCCAAAGCATGGGAGGGCCTGGCAGTGACATCCTGATTTACTGCTGACCTTTACCCAGGGCCCAGATCCCATCTGGTTCATTTGATTCAATTCAACCAAAGTTTGCTCAGCTCCTCAGTCTAGTGCTGGGGTGCAGACAATGAAGCAAGTCTGGGACAGACTGACAGGAAAGAGGGTGCCCAGGAGAGGGGTGATAAAACAGGTGTGAATGGGGAGAGTGGGGACCTTTAAATATGGAGCTTGTGCCTGGATTTAACCCAGGCTGGGGGCTTGACCTGTTTGCACCATGTCAGGGGGCATGGGATAGGAGATGAACAGTAGCCCAAGTCAGTGTCACTTCAGGGGCACCTAAAGACCCCCTCCTTTGCATCCCACCCCCGAAAGCTGAAGTTGTGCAGTAGACTATTTTTATTTGGGCTAAATTATTGTCTAGTTTAAGATGTAAATCCCTCCTGGAGAAGAACCTTAAAATATTATCCATGTTCTTGCCTTGGTATTGACTAGTTAAGTCAGAAATAAAAGGGAAAGACTTGTGGGATTTTCAAAGGTCCAGGAAAGACACATAAAATATACTGCCCTCCAACTTACTTTGTTGATATCTACATTTCATAATATGTCATATGGCTACTTATTTCATATTTAGAATCCAGGCTGAGTGGCAATGCCCTTACAAGGGGAATGTTGGCCACTGGCACTCTAGTGCTTCCCCCACAGACTCTCTTCTTAGAATGCTCCCCTCTTGGTTTTGAGGACAGCACTGAGTCCTGGTTCTCCTCTCCTATGAATGTTCCTTTTCTAGCTTCCTCTGAGACCACCCTGCCTTCACCCATTCCTTCACCAGTGTTCTTGAAGACTCCATCCTTGGCTCTCTCCTCTTCACCTTTCCATCTATGCCTGTGGCTTCAAATACCCTGTGTGGGAATAGCTATGTGTGCGTTATTTACCACTCTATTCCCAGAATAATGTGTGGTGAGGAATAGATGCTCAACACATTTGTTGAATGGATGAATCAATGAATGCATCCCAAATCTATACCCCTCCCCCGGGGTCTACTGGGGCCATCACCACCACCACCACCACCACCACCACCATCATCATCTGCAAGGCCTGGCTCGTAGTTGGTGTTCCACCACTTAGTTGCCAAGCAAATGATGCAAAGGTTTCCGAGGCTCTCAGGCCCACATTTCCACCATTTTAAAGTTCCTCCTGGACAAGGAGTGTACCTTGTTCACAAAATTAGAGTTGTTTTTGTCGAAGTCTGCCTTTGATGGGAGCAATAATGTGGAGTATGAGGCACTTCTGTCATTCAGTCAACATTTCCTGAGTGGGGCCTGAGCTAGTACTGGACATACCGAGGACTAGGTCATGATCCATCCCTAGATGTGCTCACAACTGGGGGTAGGGTGGGCTTTTGGGGACCCGGGAGGCGGTAGTGGGGAGTGGTGGAAGTGCAGGCTAGGACTCTGCAGGCCTGAGCCCTGGTTCTGCTACTGACCACTGAGTGCCACATCCCAGGACCTCTGCAAAAGGAGAGCGGAGGACCACTCATACCAGCATCTTGGTCTCCCGTGTAACAGGCTTCCAGGACTCAGGTTCCTGAGCCAGGGATCTCTGAGGAGTCAGGGATGTTGGAGGCTGCACTCGCTGCCTCCTTGCTCCCCCGGAGGACTTAGGGCTGAGTGATCTGAATCCAGCCTCCTCTGGGGAGGAGGAGCCACAGCCCAAGAAGGGCACAGGTTGGGCCAACTTCTGGCGCCTAAATTATGGTAATAAGCTGGGCAGTCCTGTCTCTCTAGCTAGGGGAGGAACCAAGCGCCTGGGAGGAGGAGTCGAGGGAACCCTGGGGCCAGAGAGCGAGAGGAACGAGGCCACCGAGTGGAGGTGTGACCCTGACTTCGCCTGGAGAGGCACTGCGGATCCCGGCCCGCACTCAGGCTTCCCAGTCCCCTCGCCCCCATGGGGGCCCCAGCCCCACGCACCCCCGCGCCCGTGCTCTGCCTGCTGCTCGCTTGCGTCTGGCTGGCCCGGGGTGAGCCGGCAGGGCAGTCTCTGCGGGTGCAGTCGCTCAAAGGTGAGAGGGGTGTGGACTAGGAGAGGCTAGGGGATGGCGGAACGTTTAGGGGAAAGGGCCTGGGCAGGTTGGAGAGAGGAAGGAAAGAGAGAAGGTTTGAGGGAGGGAAGGAGGGACAGCGAGGGAGAGGGTAGGAGAGAGGGAATGCAGAAGGGAAGAGAGGCTGGTGACGGCTAGGGCAATGGGTCTCAAGCTAGGCAGGGTGGAAGAGACCCAATGTGGGGAACTAGAGAGCACTGGGCCTCGGAGAGTGGGAGGAATGAGGGAGACCCTTGTTGGAGAAGAGTCGCCAGGGAGGGGGGAAAGGATTTGAGAAGGCTGTGGGAGACAGAATGGGGGCGATGCCAGGGGGTGTGGGAGAGGCTTCCTAGCAGGTGGGGGGTGGGTGTGGAAGGCCCAACAAAGGGAGCCATAGCTTGAGTGAAGAAGAATCCCCTCCCCAGCCGCAGCACCCACAACCCAGGGCAGTGCAGAGCTGCAGCCTGAGCCAGCCCAGGATCCCAGGTGAGTAGGTGGGAGCTTGTGGCTGCCCCACCCACCGCTCCCAGCTTTATTCCTGGTGTGTGTGACCCCAGGGGTTAGCACGGAGAGTGAATGGGCCTGGGGTGGTGGGGAGGCATGGCCCATTCCTAGCCCCTCGCCCATGCCAGGCTTCTTTCTCATCTAGCCACAGCCATCGGGAGGCGATCCTTGTCCTAGGGGATGCTACAACAGTGATGGGAGGCCAGGTAAGGGGGGGCCCAGGGAAGGGGGCCTCACTGGGCGGGGGCTTATTTCTGTCTTGGTCTGAGGCTGGCGGGGAGCTCTGGAGGTTGCAGGAAGGCTGTCTCTGCAGTTATTCATAAGGGAATGAACAAGGTTCCTAGTACGTGTCTGAAGTATGCAAATTCATAAGACACCTCCATTCCCACTGTCCTAATCTCCTGGGGCCCTGCAGCCAGCTCAGTTTTTTTTTTTTAGGGGAGGAGGGCACAGTACTCCTGAAGTTACTGTCAGGAGACAGCTGAGCTCTCTCCTCCCCAGGGTGAAAGTAGGAAGGTGAGGGTTTAGGGGAGTGGAGTTCTGTTTTCTCTGCCTGGCCTGTGATGGCCCTAAACCTGTCAGAGGCCCCCCTCCATACCCTGAGGAGAGCCCCAGCAATGCTGCCCTGAGAGGAGAGACAAAAACTGGGCCACCTGGTGGGGTTTGCCAGGAAGAATTGGCTGAGAAGCAGAGCCCCAACTACTATCCTCTGAGTTTTGCCCATTCCCCATTGCGCACCCTCCTGGGGTCCTCTGTGCTCTCAGAAGACGTGGTGGTTTGCTTTCCCTCTTTGCCAAACTTCTTTGGTCCATGGATCAGGTAACTCAGGTTCTCTTTCTAATCCTGGCGTGCATTTGTCTCCTTTCTACAACCACAGACATCTCACAAATCCAGCCCACTGGCAGCCAGGCCCCCCAGAGCATCTTGAACCTCAACTCATGCACCCTGGCCCTAAGGGTCAGCTCTAGGTAGCTCCTTGTGCCAGCAGGTTGGGGAGCATCATTTATGATAGAAAACAGTGTGTCCCAAATACCTGTCCTTTGGAAATAGATATGAAGACCCCAAAGTAGGAGGGGGCACTCCGATTCTGTAATGTGTGGATTTTCTGGGTTTTTAATTTCTCACTGGCCTACTTTTCTGGGCCGTAAATTTTAGAATCACAGTCAGGTACAGTTTGAGTTGAAAGATAATGTCGTTCTTTTTATACATGGGGAAATCGAGGTAGGTGGATGACTGGAGGGACCCGCAGGAAGCAGGTGGAGCTGGCCTGTCCCCCCACACCATGAATGCCCCCACAGGGCTCCGGGAAGCCTTGCATTTTAGTGGGGGAAATGATCCTTACCCAAGCACCTCATTCCCCTGGCAGGCTTCCTTCCTCGCTGGATTGCAGGGTAGGCCTCCCCTTTTCCTTGGGGAAGCATCTGGACCAGGCAACCCCAGCGCGTTTCTCACATTACTCCTTAGAACAAATAAGGGTTGGGAATGGCCCTTCTTTAAGGTGATGGAGTTGGGGGGAATGAGGCCATTAGCTAGAAAGTGAACCTGGGGACCCTTTGAGGGCTTCTGCCTAGAATACCCTCAAGGGTAAGGGAGGGGTCCCAGACCAGCGGCCCACTGACCTTCATTTCAATGCTGCTTCACTCCTACAGAGCTCAGCCATTCTCCAGACAATTGATGGTGTAGACCCAGGGTCCACAGACCTGGATGGGGAAAAAAATGCATTGTTATTTACAGGAATCTTAATCTAACTGAAATGTAGTATTCTCTTCAATTATTATTATA